CGTGGGACCAAGAAGGGGAAGGGGGGAAGTGGGGGCGAGAATGCGACGTCGAGCAAGGTTGGTAGGAACCTCACTATCTTCATTTTCGGAGTCTTCCTGTTGTCGATGTCCTTGGCGGGCGCGAGGACTGGTGCCGGGGGCTGGTTGTCGGGGGGCGGAAGCTTGGGCGCGCGAGGGAGGCGTTGACATTTCCTCTTTCTTGGCAAAATTGGTCGTAACGGTTATATTGTCGGATGAAGTTCCGATTGTAACAGGCTGCTGCTGGTTGTAACAGCGCCAGCAGCTGCTGCACGGTAAACACGGGGGCGGCGGCGACCGGCGTGACCTCGTCAACGGGTGTGTGATCGGTGGGGCCCGCGTGGCCTGCAGCCGTTGCGGCGTGCGCAGGCGCGTGCTTCTTAGGCGGCAGCACGCGCGGTTGTTTGGCAGGTGCGTGTGTTTCTTTGGGAGGGGCGTGAGTGGCGCCAAGGAGGACCTTGACAGCCGAGGGCCCCTCACCTGGATTGTCCTCAGCAGGACGTTTCTGGCGACGGGCGGTTACCCCGGCCGAAGTTCCAGGCTTCGCGGTGTTAATGAGGTAGTAGCCTTGGTCGTCAGGCGATGAGGAGTCGTGTTTGCAGACGCCATCGAAGCGAGGTTGTGCTTCAAAATGTCGGTGAGCAGCGTTGTCGGGGCCTTCCCTCGAGGAAGTGACTGGGTTTTCGCCAGGTTAGACGAGGAGAACTGAAAATAGAACTAGAGGAACTAGAAATGAAGAACATGGGTGAGGCCAAAGGGCCTCATGTCCCTCTTTTGTAGGCAAAAGAGGGTGAGTAGCACTTCGACGCTGCCTTTGCTGCATTGGCCCTTGCTATACTTTCACAATACACATTTTTAGAAAGCCGTACATGCCTTACAAAAAAACATTTGAATAATAATATCTACAGGTAGGTACTGCACAAAAGGACTAGCTGGAGTCACGCTAAGGGTCACATACATCACAAGCATTTGGAAAACAAAAGCGACAATACCGGGGGAAGTGGCAAGCCAGCTCACGACAGGTTGCTAGTCCTTGTCAACATATAATTTGTATATGTTATAGGCTAGCTAGGTGCATGCTCATATAGAGTACAACCCGTTAGGTTATGTTCTCTTGAATCACCTCATTCTAGTCACTTGTCCTATGATAAGATGGTATCAGATTAGGTTGGGTCTGCCCACGCACTTCCGCCCTAGACCCTAGTGCCCTGCTGGCCCCTTAGCGCTCCGCTGGCCCTTAGAGCCCCGCTTGCCCCTTAGTTCCCGCTGGCCCGTTCGCCCCGCTGGCCCCATTTGCACCCTGCTGGCCCTGTCGAGCCCTGCTAGCCTCATGCGCCCCACTGGCCCCGTCGAGCCCCGCTAGCCCCATGCGCCCCATTGGCCCCGTATGCCCCGCTGGCCCCGTCGAGCCCCGCTAGCCTTGTGCGCCCCGCTGGCCCCGTATGCCTCGTTGGCCACGTTCGCGCCCCGCTAGCCACGTCAAGCCTCGCAAGCCCCTCTGACCCCGCATGCCCTGCTGGCCCCGTTCGTTGTCCCGCTAGCCCTGTGCGCCCCGCTGGCCCCGTATGCCCTGCTGGCCCCGTTCGCGCCCCGCTAGCCACGTGTGCCACGCTAGCCCTAGCTCACCAGCCTCACCTTGCTGACTCTCGCTCATAGGCCCTAGCTCGTCAGCCTCTGCTCGCTTGCCGCCCCTTCCTCTCTGGCCCCCGTTCCTGCCGGCCCCAGCTTCCTGCGGCGCCGCCGTGTTGCTGGGTCGCTGTGCCGCTGTGCCGACGTGCTGCCATAACGCCATGAAGCCGTGTCGTCGTGCCGCCGTGTCGCCGTGCCGCCGTGGCGCCGTGTCGCCGTGCCGCCGTGTCATCGTATCGCAGTGCCGCCGTGGATCCGGACAGCCGTGCCCGGTGTCGTCGTGCCGCCGTGGTGCCGTGCAGCCTTGTCGCCGTGCCGCCGTGCCGCAGTGTCGCTTGCCGTCCTGCCGCCATGTAGCCATGTTGCCGTGCCGCCGCGTAGCCGTGCAGTCGGGCCGCCATGCCACTCTGTAGCTGTGCCGCCGTGGTGCCGTATCGCCCTGCCGTCGTGTAGCCGTGTCGCCGTGCCGCCATGTAGCCGTGTCGCCGTGCCGCCGTGCAGCCGTGTCGCCGTGCCGTCATGCCGTTGTGGAGCCGGGCCGCTGGGCCGCTGTATCGCCGTGCCGCCGTGGTACTGTGCCGCCGTGTCGCGGTTCCATCATGCTGCCGAGTAACTGAGGGCGTGCGATGGCGGACGATGTGCTCCGCCTGGCCACGGAGGGGTGGGCGATCAACTTCGATGCGTGGCTTGTTGACCTTCACCGTCACCTGACAGGTCAGCGCCAGGATGGTTACTCCCTGGTGGCTTGCTTCCCCGCCCCCCCAAGCCTGCTGCCCTCCCTAATTCCCCCACCTCTTCTGAGCGTGAGACATTTTCCGCTGCTGCGCTTGCTCACGCTGTCTGGGAGTTGCGCGACGCCGTAGCGCAGCTTGCCATTAGTCACGCCCTCCCCCTGTCTAAGCGTCCGCGCTTTAATGCTATAGTGAACGCCAAGGAATTCTTAGAGACCCTAGTTGCACACTACTCCACGCCTGCCTCCGCCTCCGCTGGTCGCCTGATCCTCCTCATGCTGTTCCCTGATCTTGCGGCCTTCCCTACTGTTGCTGACCTAGCCACTCACCTCCGTGCACTTGAGGCTAGCTACCGCCGCCGCTAGCATTGAGACCCAGCTCACTGCCTTCCTCCCCCCACTTGGCGCTACCCTTTACCTTATTGCCACGCTCCTCCCGGGCCGCCTAGCCACTGCCCGCGACCACTTCCTTAGTCAGCACCCAGGTTGATCTCACCCTTACCGCCTTTGTCATCGCCCTGTGGGAGATAGAGACCCGCCAGCGCACTAGCACTCAGTCTAGCGGTACTCTGGCTGTCCCTATCTTTCAGGGCTGTGCTCCCGCCCCGTGCACCTACTCTGGCGTCTTTGCTGTTGTCGCTGAGACAGCCCCTGCTGCTGAGACCATTGATGTGCGCTCAGCGCAGCCGCGTCAGGGTAGGCGCCGCCACCCTAGGAGGGGGTGTGGCCAAGGGAAGGGTGGTGGAGGTGGTGGGGGGGGGCAGGGACACTGGTTCCGACGAGGGACCGGGATTGGTGCTCCAGAGCAGCCGCAGCAGTACCAGCCTCAGCAGCAGCAGCAGTGGGGCCACCTCCCGCCAGGGTGGCCCCGCGCCTTTGGTGGTGGTGGCCGCCAGTACCAGATCTTGTTTTCTTTGTGTTGCCTAGTGTAGGTGTGCCCCCTATGTGTAGTCTAGGTTCCCCTGCTACGTCACACGTAGGACCCCCTACCTTGTTTAGCCTAGGTTCCATGCTAGCCCCTCCACCGGCTACCGCTTCTGCTTCGCTCTCGCTCAGGCTCGACTGTGGTGCGTCTGCCTGCTTCTTTCGCGACCACACTGTGCTCACGCCGCTTGCTGCCCCTGCCGCTGTCGCGATTGCCGACCCCTCCTCAGGTCTAGTAGTTGCCCGTAGCTCCACCACCCTTCCCTGTCTGGCGGTCACCTCGGGCTCTCTAATAGGTCTGCACATCCCCTCGTTCTCTCGGAACCTAGTTGGTGTCGGCTATCTTCAGGACTTCGGCGTTACCACTACATTCCCCGGACACGAGTGGTACGTAATCAGTACCGAGGCCGCCACTGGTGCCCCTCTGACCACGTTACCCCGGGACCCTGTGTCTGGCCTGTTTACGCTTAACACTGTGTCCCCCTAGTGAGGGCGCCCCCCCAGGTGCCTGCGTCTACCTAGGTTGTTGCGGCTTGCTCGTGTCGGTTGCTCACTCACCCATCGCTACTGTGGCACCACCGCCTATGTCCCCCGCTCTCCCACTGTCACAGGATCGAATGTGTCAAGGAAAGGTTCCACTATCGATCAGTACAAGGCGCTTTTATACTTCCAGAGTACATCAGGTAACCAGGTTTATCTTATCCTAGGGGAATAGACCCTTCTAGAAGATAGAATCACCCTGCGTATAGCCACGCGAGGCTATTGGCTTTAAGGGATTACAGCAGGATTACGCTAGCTAGAGCGCACCAGTACATCCCAAGCCTGGTCGGTAATATAATGATAATAACAGGATAAACCAAAGGTTAATGGAGAAAGGAAGAATAGGAAACCAAATGAGATGGAATAAAAGAGAAAGGAAAAAGGAAGGAAATAAGAAAAGGCCAAGTGGTGTAACGAGGTCGCACTCTCACACTTCCCCCCTCAAAGCTGGGTGGTAGAAGTAACACCCTGCTTGACAAGGTAGTCATGCAGAGGACGACGGGCGTTACCCATGTCGGACTCAGGTACCCAGCTGTCCTCAGAAGGATCATAACCCTTCCAACGGATGAGAAGCTCCACGGTGCCATTCCGACGACGTCGGTGTGCGAGCACGGACTCGACCTCGTACTCGGGTTCATTCTGGACGAGGACGGGCAGTGGCGGCGGCGGTTGGCGTCCAACGAAAACCGTGTTCGGTCCCGATAGGGCTTCAGAAGTTGGACGTGGAAGGCGTTGTGAATCTTCCAGGTAGCTGGCAGGCGTAAGCGGAAGGTAACAGGAGTGACCTGTGCTTCAACGAGAAAAGGCCCGCAGAAGCGAGGTCGAAGTTTAGATGGGAGATGGCTGATGTCCAGGTTGCGGGTGTCAAGAAGCACCTGGTCCCCTACCGTGATGGTGTGATCGTTGCGATGGCGATCGGCTTGGCGCTTCTGTTGCTGTTGAATGTCGAGTAGGCGCTTGTGGGTCCGATCCCAAAGCTGATGCATGGTTGTGATGAAATCATGTGCGGGTTGGACTGTAGCTGATGCTGTCGGTTTTTGTGGTGTGAGTGGGTGGCGTCCGTAGCAGAGGAAGAACGGCGTCTGTCCAGTAGCGGCATGTGTAGCATTGTTGTAAGCAAACTCTAGTACGGGCAGGTGCAAGTCCCATTTGGAGATCTCGTCCTTGCAGGCTGCTCGGAGGAGTTGCTCAACAATTTGGTTGAGGCGCTCGGTCTGTCCGTCTGTCTGCGGATGGTAAGCGGATGACATGGCGAGTTTGGTCCCGAGGAGAGACATAAGTTCCTTCCAGAACTTGCTGGTAAACTTGGGGTCTCGGTGAGATGAGTGTGGTTGGAATGCCATGCTGTGAGATGATGTATCGAACGAAGAGTTGTGCTGTTTCTTCGGTGCGTGCTGTCGTGTGTGTCGGGATGAAGTGTCCCATTTTGGAGAACTTGTCAATGACGACAAGGATGGCGTCATGACTGCTGGAGGTAGGTGGTAACCCGGTGATGAAGTCTAGGCTAACCACTTGCCATGGTTGTTCTGGGACAGGAAGAGGCTGCAGTAGTCCTGCCTTCTTCTGCTTGCTGCTCTTCATCCGCTGACATGTATCACACGAGGTGACGAATTTCTGGACATCTTCTGCTAAGTGGGGCCAGTAGTAGTGCTTTGCGATACCGGTCAGCGTCTTGTTGCTACCAAAGTGTCCGGCGTAGAGGACGTCGTGTGGTATTCTTCGAGTAGTAACTGGCGCAAAGGAGGGTAATTGGGTACCCAGATTTTCGTTGATCCTTTCCGGTACGCGATGTCACTGTCCCACTGTAGCAGATGTCGCTTTTCTGCCAAGGGAATTTCCGGGGTCGATGGCGTACCTGTGTTAAGAGTCCCTTGAGTAGTGGATTCATCCCTTCGACCTGAATAGCGGCAACGTGTGCAGGCCGGCTGAGAGCGTCTGCTTTGTTCTTGTGACCTGGCTTGTACACGATGTCGTAGTGGAAGTGTGTCTCGAGGAAGTCGATCCACCGGACCTGCCGCCTGGAAAGGTTTGGGTTGTGTCTTCAAGTATTTCAGGCTGCAGTGGTCAGTGTAGACGGTTGTTCTTCGTCCTTCGAGATAGCATCTCCACGCTTTGAAGGCGATGATGATAAGCCAGGCCCTCTTGTCGTGTATCGGGTAGTTTAGTTCTGCCCCGTACTTTCTTTTACTTGTGAGGTAGCTTGCGTTGGCTCTCGTCCATTCCCTTGGGTCTTGCATCCAGACTGCTCCCCACGGCACGGTATCACTGGCGTCAGCTTCGATGACGTAGTCGCGTTCGGGATCTGGCAAGATGAGTACCGGTGCGGACGTAGTGCTTGTTTCAGCTGCTCCACGGCTTCCTGGTGCTTCGGCTCCCATTTTGTAGGGCGTGTTCTTCTTCAGCAGATTCGTGAGTGGTGCTGCGAGTTTCGCATACTGTGGCACGAACCTGTTGTAGTAATTAGCGAAGCCTAGGAACTGCTGCAACTCCTTCACGTTCTCGGGTGTCTTCCACGTACGTACGGCTTCGATTTTCTTGGGGTCGACGTGAACTCCTTGAGCGCTCACACTGTGTCCTAGGAACTGGACCTTTTCAAGGGCGAATTCGCTCTTGGACAGTTTGACGTAGAATCGTTCTCGTCGAAAGAATTTTGAAGACGCGTCGCAGGTGTTCGACGTGCTGCTTCATGTCGCGCGAGTAGATGAGTATGTCGTCCAGGTACACCACCACGCACTCGTCCAAAAGTGGTCGTAGAATGTGGTTCATTTCGGCTTGGAACGTTTGCCGGTGCGTTGGTGAGTCCGAACGGCATTACCAAATACTCGTACGATATCCGTACCGAGTTCGGAAAGCAGTTTTGTGGATTAGAGTTGTCCGCCATCCGTATCTGCCAGTATCCGGACCGCAGATCCAGTTTGGAAAATACCGTAGCTCCCCGAAGCTGGTCAAGCAGGTCATCGATTCGCGGTATCGGATATTTATTCTTGATGGTCTGCTTGTTAAGAGAGCTCGGTAGTCGATGCACATGCGCAGGCTTTCCGTCCGGTTTCGGTGTGAAGAGTACTGGGGCACCGTATGGCGAAGTGGATGGTCGGATGAGTCCTTTGGCTAGGAGATACTCGATTGTTTTTTCATGTCGGTCAGCTCCGTAGCTAGCCGGTATGGTGCTCGGCTCGAAGGTCGGCTTCGAACCGGTTCCTCCACGATCTCGTGTTGATGCTTCGGTATGGCGGTAGCTCGTTCGGAAGATCGTCGGAAGAATATCTTGGAACTCCTTCATAATTCCTTGATCTTTTCTGGAGTTTCCGAGGCTTTTCTCTCCGTCATTCTCCACCTCTGTTGCTATCGCCAGGAACCCGGTGTCGGTGCTTACGTCCTTCTCGAATCGTGCGAGTGTCTCCACTGGGATATCTCCTGTATCGTCCCAGTTGGGTAGCTGTACTCTCCGTCCATTGTTGTAGATGCTTGCGGTGCGGTTCACCCAGTTGATCTCGGGGTTGAATCTTTTTAGGAAGTCTCGCCCGAAGATCAAGTCAAGCCCTTTGATGTTGGTGATGGGGAGTGCAGGTCTCCAGCGCAGTGGTCCAATTTGTAGGATGTAGCACTGCTTCGCCGTGTACTGGTAACTTGCTGCGTCCACCATCGTTGCAGAGAATCCTGAAGGCTTGTACTCTTCCCGAAGTCGGTCGATCACTGCCTTGTCGCAGAGTGGTATGCTCCGCTGTCCACGAGTGCTTGGAGGCGTCGTCCTTTGCAGATGACCTCGCACGAGGGCAGTCGTTGCTCGGAGTACCCAAAAGATAGTTTCATTGATTGGGTCATAGGGTCAATTATTCCGTACACACCTTTGTGTTGCTATCTACTCCTGAGCTGGCAGCTGGCTGAGGCTGCTTGGAGAACGGCTCTTCTCCAGGGCCCGGAGTTCCCCTGACGACTGTGCGCGTCACTGATGCCGAAGAACTGGATGCATCCGTAGGAGGAGTTCGGGGTTTGTGCAGCTTCTTGTAGACCCCCAGCTTCCTCTTGAGCTGCTTTAGCTCCACCGACGTCTTCCCTGGGGAACGGGTAGTCGTTGTGGGCTGGTGTCGGGAGAGGACGTTGACTCCGTGGAAAGGTCGGCTTCTTTCCACACTCCTTAATTTTTTCCCCAAGTTGTCCGGTACCGGTATGATCTCCACAGCTGTCTGCTTCTTTTGGAGTCCCTCCCAAATTTCTCCAAGGCTCTAGCTCCTCGAAAATCATAAGTTTTCATTAAAGCATCTTTATAAGATAACTTTAATGAATGCTTATAATTTCTTGGGTCTTCAAGGAGTTTCCCCGTCTCGGCAGAGTCTTTTTCGCGGAGTCGTATTTTTCCTCGGCGATTTTCCCTGGCGAAGACTGGTTGTGGGGTGGAGATTTTCCCCCATCATTTCCTCCTTCTCGCGTCGAATCAGCTTCGTCGAAGTTGATTTTTCCGGAATCCCGTGGCCGCTTTCGGATCTTTTTATTTTCGCCAGCTAGATCCGCAATCACTGGCGACTACCGTTTTTTGGCTTCTGATTGGCTGAAGGAATTCCGCCACTGTTGCGTGCCCGATACTCTGCGCGTGCAGCTTTCATTTTGCTGCAGTCGAAGATTCGATGACCCGGCACCCCGCAAAAATCACACGTGTAATTGGTGTTTTTCGGACGTGGCCGCCCCTCAAATCTGTCAACTTCCATCGGGTCGGCGAACGTGGTTTGAGCCGAGCGGTCGCCCTGTCGCGTACTGCCGATGTGCGTCCGTCGTGTTCCGGCGTTGACCATGTCGAAGCGCTCCGCTGCCGAAACGACGTCACTGTAGCTCGCGTAGTTTGACGCTGCGACTTGTCGTTTGACTTCGGTCTTCAGCCCGGCGAGGTACGATTGTACTTTTTCCCCTTCGGTCAGGTCGGGAATGCGGTTATAAAATTCCTCCATCTGCTGCGTGTACTGCGCTACACTCCCGAACTGTCGGTGTCGATGATTTTTTCCCGGGCAAGGAAACTGGAATTTATCAACTCGAAGCGTTTCAGCAGGTCAGCGCGGAACTGCTGCCACGTGGCTTCACCGTGGATGAAAGTACTGTTGCCGCCAATCCACTCGAGTGCCGGCCCTCGCATCAGTGTCGCCACGAGTCGTACACGTTGACCGTCCCAGACTGGCGAGCTCCATCCGACGGCTGCGAAGTAGATCTCCATCCCGGCGATCCATCTGCGGGCGTCGGAGTTTCGATCGCTCGGATCGAATGGCTCAGGTGGGTGCAGTTTCGGAGCCTCGAGAAACTGCTGCAACTGCTGCGTCATCGCCGTTGTCGTCTCGTGCTGCGCTCCGGCGAGTCGAGTTACTCGCTCGAACTCGTTTCGCCATGCTTCGCAATCCGCTCGCATTTCCTCCTGAAGGGCTGCGATGCGCGCGAAGAGCTGCTGGGTAACCTCGGTGTTGTCGAAGGTTGCCATCCTGTTCAAAACACGCACGGAGGGGGTAATTCGAAAATCGCGGAGCTGGTGCTTACCAGAATCGGCGTCGAATTGGTCGCCCCCGGCGGTTTTTCGAGGCAGGATCCCCGCTGCTGCTGCTTAGCTGAGCGCGGTCGAGTGAGAAAAGCTCTGATTACCAAGTGTCACAGGATCGAATGTGTCGAGGAAAGGTTCCACTATCGATCAATACAAGGCGCTTTTATACTTCCAGAGTACATCAGGTAACCAGGTTTATCTTATCCTAGGGGAATAGACCCTTCTAGAAGATAGAATCACCCTGCGTATAGCCACGCGAGGCTATTGGCTTTAAGGGATTACAGCAGGATTACGCTAGATAGAGCGCACCAGTACATCCCAAGCCTAGTCGGTGATATAATGATAATAGCAGGATAAACCAAAGGTTAATGGAGAAAGGAAGAATAGGAAACCAAATGAGATGGAATAAAAGAGAAAGGAAAAAGGAAGGAAATAAGAAAAGGCCAAGTGGTGTAACGAGGTCGTACTCTCACACCCACGTTGGCGTCACATGTCCCAGCACGGCCTTGTCTTTCCTGTTCAGCGTTCTCACCCTATGTTGCTTCGTTCCCATGCGTCTCGTCCTCCCCTCCTCCCCTCGCCTCCTCCATCATCGCTTGTTGTCGCTCTGCCTCCTCTGTCTGACTACCTTCGTGCCACTAGTCCCCTTGTTCCTAGGGTCCTTGCCTCCCTCGTTACCGACCCGTCTGTTCCTGTTTCCAGTTTTGACGCTCTTGTCGCTGACTTCGCCTCTTCGGGCAGCCTTGACTACCCCCACCACTTTGTTTTTTTACCCTGCCCACCCTGCGTCCGTCGGGGGTGCTCCTGCCCTTGGCAGAGACGTCATGGGGTACCGGCAGCACGAGCTTGCTTTCTTGTCCGAGGCCACACCTCATCTCTGCTCCATGCTGCAAGTCCCTGAGGGGGACCCAGATACCTTCGACATCCCGACCCCGTGCACCTACGCTGAGGCAACCTCGGGACCCTCGGTGTCACAGGTTCGAATGTGTCGAGGAAAGGTTGTACTATCGATCGGTACAAGGCGCTTTTATACTTCCAGAATACATCAGGTAACCAGGTTTATCTTATCCTAAGGGAATAGACCCTTCTAGAAGATAGAATCACCCTGCGTATAGCCACGCGAGGCTATTGGCTTTAAGAGATTACGACAGGATTACGCTAGATAGCGTGTCCTAGAACATTCCATGCTTGGTCGGTGATATAATTAGAATAAGGGAAGAAACCAACGGATAATGGAAAATGGGAATATGAGGCAAAAGGAGATGAGATAAAAGAGGAATGAAATGAAGATGAAATATGGAAAAGGCCAAGTGGTGTAACGGAGTCGTACTCTCACACTTCCCCCCCTCAAAGCTGGGTGGTAGAAGTAACACCCTGCTTGACAAGGTAGTCATGCAGAGGACGACGGGCGTTACCCATGTCGGTCTCAGAGACCCAGCTGTCCTCAGAAGGATCATAGCCCTTCCAACGAATAAGAAGCTCCACGTTGCCATTCCGACGACGGCGGTGTGCAAGCACGGACTCGACCTCGTACTCGGGTTCATTTTGGACGAGGACGGGTGGCGGCGGCGGCGGTTGGCGTCCGACGAAGATCGTATTAGGATCTCGGTAGGGCTTCAGAAGTTGGACATGGAAGGCGTTGTGAATCTTCCAGGTAGCTGGTAGGCGTAAGCGGAAGGTAACAGGAGTGACCTGTGCTTCAACGAGAAAGGCCCGCAGAAGCGAGGTCGAAGTTTAGATGGGAGATGGCTGATGTCCAGGTTGCGGGTGTCAAGGAGAACCTGGTCTCCCACGGAAATGGTGTGGTCGTTGCGATGGCGATCGGCCTGGCGCTTCTGTTGCTGTTGAATGTCAAGGAGGCGCTTATGGGTCCGATCCTAAAGCTGATGCATGGTTGTGATGAAGTCGTGTGCAGGTTGGACTGTTGCTGGTGTTGTCGGTTTCTGTGGTGTGAGTGGGTGGCGTCCGTAGCAGAGGAAGAACGGCGTCTGTCCCGTAGCGGCGTGTGTAGCGTTGTTGTAGGCAAACTCCAGAACGGGTAGGTGCAAGTCCCATTTGGAGATGTCGTCCTTGCAGGCTGCTCGGAGGAGTTGCTCAACAATTTGGTTGAGGCGCTCGGTCTGTCCGTCTGTCTGCGGATGGTATGCGGATGACATGGCGAGTTTGGTGCCGAGCAGAGACATAAGTTCCTTCCAGAACTTGCTAGTGAACTTGGGTCTCGGTCGGAGATGAGTGTAGTTGGGATGCCATGCTGTGAGATGATGTGACGAACGAAGAGTTGTGCTGTCTCCTCGGTGCGTGCCGTCGTGTGCGTCGGGATGAAGTGTCCCATTTTGGAGAACTTGTCAATGACGACAAGGATGGCGTCATGACCGCTGGAGGTAGGTGGTAACCCGGTGATGAAGTCTAGGCTAACCACTTGCCATGGTTGTTCTGGGACAGGAAGAGGCTGCAGTAGTCCGCCTTTTTCTGCTTGCTGCTCTTCATCCGCTGACATGTATCACACGAGGTGACGAATTTCTGGACGTCGTCTGCCATATGGGGCCAGTAGTAGTGTTTGGCGATACCGGTGAGCGTCTTGTTGCTACCGAAGTGTCCGGCGTACAGGACGTCGTGGTATTCTTCGAGTAGTAACTGGCGCAAAGGAGGGTAATTGGGTACCCAGATTTTTGTTGATCCTTTCCGGTACGCGATGTCACTGTCCCACTGTAGCAGATGTCGCTTTTCTGCCAAGGAAATTTCGGGGTCGATGGCGTACCCGTGTGTGAAGAGTCCCTTGAGTAGTGGATTCATCCCTTCGACCTGAATCGCGGCAACGTGTGCAGGCCGGCTGAGCGCGTCTGCTTTGTTCTTGTGGCCGGGCTTGTACACGATGTCGTAGTGGAAGTGTGTCTCGAGGAAGTCGATCCACCGGACCTGCCGCCTGGAAAGGTTGGGTTGTGTCTTCAAATATTTCAGGCTGCAGTGGTCGGTGTAGACGGTTGTTCTTCGTCCTTCGAGATAGCATCTCCACGCTTTGAAGGCGATGATGATAGCAAGAGCCTCTTTGTCGTGTATCGGGTAGTTGAGTTCTGCCCCGTGCAGTTTCTTGCTGAGGTAGGCAATGGGTTGCAGTCCATTCCCTTGGTCTTGCATCAAGACTGCTCCCACGGCCTGATCACTGGCGTCTGCTTCAATGACGTAGTCACGTTCGGGATCTGGCAAGATGAGCACCGGTGCGGATGTTAGTGCTTGTTTCAGCTGCTCCACGGCTTCCTGGTGCTTTGGTTCCCATTTGTAGGGCGTGTTCTTCTTTAGCAGATTCGTGAGTGGTGCTGCGATTTTCGCATATTGTGGCACGAACCTGTTGTAGTAATTAGCGAAGCCTAGGAACTGCTGCAACTCCTTCACGTTCTCGGGTGTCTTCCACGTACGTACGGCTTCGATTTTCTTGGGGTCGACGTGAACTCCTTGAGCGCTCACCATGTGGCCTAGAAATTGGACCTTCTCCAGGGCGAATTCGCTCTTGGACAGTTTGACGTAGAATCGTTCCCGTCGAAGAATTTCGAAGACGCGTCGCAGGTGTTCGACGTGCTGCTTCATGTGGCGCGAGTAGATGAGGATGTCGTCCAGGTACACCACCACGCATTCGTCCAGAAGTGGTCGTAGAATGTGGTTCATTTCGGCTTGGAACGTTGCCGGTGCGTTAGTGAGTCCGAACGGCATTACCAGATACTCGTACGATCCGTACCGAGTTCGGAAAGCAGTTTTGTGGATAGAGTTGTCCGCCATCCGTATCTGCCAGTATCCGGACCGCAGATCCAGTTTGGAAAATACCGTAGCTCCCCGAAGCTGGTCAAGCAGGTCATCGATTCGCGGTATCGGATATTTATTCTTGATGGTCTGCTTGTTAAGAGCTCGGTAGTCGATGCACATGCGCAGGCTTCCGTCCGGTTTTGGTGTGAAGAGTACTGGGGCACCGTACGGCGAAGTGGATGGTCGGATGAGTCTTTTGGCTAGGAGATACTCGATCTGCTTCTTCATGTCAGTCAGCTCCGTAGAGCTGAGCCGATATGGTGCTCGGAAGGTCGGCTTCGAACCCGGTTCTTCCACAATCTCGTGTTGATGCGTTCGGTATGGCGGTAGCTCGTTCGGAAGATCGTCAGGAAGGATGTCTTGGAACTCCTTCAATAATTCCTTGATTTTTTCTGGAGTTTCCGAGGCTTTCTCTCCGTCATTCTCCACCTCTGTTGCTATCGCCAGGAACCCGGTGTCGGTCCGCTTCACGTCCTTCTCGAATCGTGCGAGTGTCTCCACTGGGATATCTCCAGTGTCGTCCCAGTTGGGTAGCTGTACTCTCCGTCCATTGTTGTAGATGCTTGCGGTGCGGTTCACCCAGTTGATCTCGGGGTTGAATTTTTTCAGGAAGTCTCGCCCGAAGATCAAGTCAAGCCCTTTGATGTTGGTGATGGGGAGTGCAGGTCTCCAGCGCAGTGGTCCAATTTGTAGGTGTAGCACTGTTTCGCCGTGTACTGGTAACTTGCTGCCATCCACCATCGTTGCAGAGAATTTTGAAGGCTTGTACTCTTCTCGAAGTCGGTCGATTATTGCCTTGTCGCAGACGGTGTGTGACGCTCCGCTGTCCACGAGTGCTTGGAGGCGTCGTCCTTTGCAGATGACCTCGAGCACGAGAGGCGGGCGTTGCTCAGAGTACCCAAAGATAGTCTCATTAATGGGGTCATAGGGTACATCCCAATAATCCGTACACACCTTTTCGTTGCTATCTGCTCCTGAGCTAGCAGCTGGCCGAGGCTGCTTGGAGAACGGCTCTTCTCCAGGGCCCGGAGTTTCCTTGACGACTGTGCGCGTCACTGATGCCGAAGAACTGGATGCATCCGTAGAAGGAGTTCGGGGTTTGTGCAGCTTCTTGTAGACCCCCAGCTTCCTCTTGAGCTGCTTCAGCTCCACCGACGTCTTCCCTGGGGAGCGGGTAGTCGTTGTGGGCTGGTGTCGGGAGAGGACGTTGACTCCGTGGAAAGGTCGGCTTCTTTCCACACTCCTTAATTTGGTCCCCAAGTTGTCCGGTACCGGTATAATCTCCACAGCTGTCTGCTTCTTTTGGAGTCCCTCCCGAAATTTCTCCAAGGCTCTAGCTCCTCGAAAATCATAAGTTTTCATTAAAGCATCTTTATAGGATAGCTTTAACGAATTCTTATACTTTCTTGGGTCTTCAAGGAGTTTCCCCGTCTCGGCAGAGTCTTTTTTCGCGGAGTCTGATTTTTCCTCGGCGATTTCCTCTGGCGAAGACTGGTTGTGGGGTGGAGATTTTCCCCCATCATTTCCTCCTGCTCGCGTCGAATCAGCTTCGTCGAAGTTGATTTTCTCGGAATCCCGCGGCCGTTTCCGGATCTTTTTATTTTCGCCAGCTAGATCCGCAATCACTGGCGACTCCCGTTTTTTGTCTTCTGATTGGCCGGAAGATTTCCGCCACTGTTGCGTGCCCGATACTCTGCGCGTGCGGCCTTCATTTTGTTGCAGTCGAAGATTCGGTGGCCCGGCACCCCGCAAAAATCACACGTGTAGTTGGTGTTTTTCGGACGTGGCCGCCCCTCGAATCTGTCGACTTCCATCGGGTCGGCGAACGTGGGGTGAGCCGAGCGGTCGCCCTGTCGCGTACTGCCGACGTGCGTCCGTCGTGTTCCGGCGTTGACCATGTCGAAGCGCTCCGCGGCCGAAACGACGTCACTGTAGCTCGCGTAGTTTGACGCTGCCACCTGTCGTTTGACTTCGGTCTTCAGCCCTGCGAGGTACGATTGCACTTTTTCCCCTTCGGTCAGGTCGGGAATGCGGTTATAAAATTCTTCCATCTGCTGCGTGTACTGTGATACACTCCCGAACTGTCGATGACGATGAATTTTTTCGCGGGCAAGAAAACTTGAATTTATCGGTTCGAAGCGTTTCAGCAGGTCGGCGCGGAACTGCTGCCACGTGGCTTCACCGTGGATGAAGGTGCTGTTGCCGCCAATCCACTCGAGTGCCGGCCCTCGCATCAGTGTCGCCGCGAGTCGTACACGTTGACCGTCCCAGACTGGCGAGCTCCATCCGACGGCTGCGAAGTAGATCTCCATCCCGGCGATCCATCTGCGGGCGTCGGAGTTTCGATCGCTCGGATCGAACGGCTCAGGTGGGCGCGGTTTCGGAGCCTCGAGAAACTGCTGCGACTGCTGCGTCGTCGCCGTTGTCGTCTCGTGCTGCGCTCCGGCGAGTCGAGTTACTCGCTCGAACTGGTTTCGCCACGCTTCGCGATCCGCTCGCATTTCCTCCTGAAGGGCTGCGATGCGCGCGAAGAGCTGCTGGGTAACCTCGGCGTTGTCGAAGGTTGCCATCCTGTTCAAAACACGCACGGAGGGGGTAATTCGAAAATCGCGGAGCTGGTGCTTACCAGAATCGGCGTCGAATTGGTCGCCCCCGGCGGTTTTTCGAGGCAGGATCCCCGCTGCTGCTGCTTAGCTGAGCGCGGTCGAGTGAGAAAAGCTCTGATACCAAGTGTCACAGGATCGAATGTGTCGAGGAAAGGTTGTACTATCGATCGGTACAAGGCGCTTTTATACTTCCAGAATACATCAGGTAACCAGGTTTATCTTATCCTAAGGGAATAGACCCTTCTAGAAGATAGAATCACCCTGCGTATAGCCACGCGAGGCTATTGGCTTTAAGAGATTACGACAGGATTACGCTAGATAGCGTGTCTAGAACATTCCATGCTTGGTCGGTGATATAATTAGAATAAGGGAAGAAACCAAAGGATAATGGAAAATGGGGAATATGAGGCAAAAGGAGATGAGATAAAAAGAGGAATGAAATGAAGATGAAATATGGAAAAGGCCAAGTGGTGTAACGGAGTCGTACTCTCACATGGCCCCGTCGCCCCTGCCTGGCCTTGTCGCGCCTGCCTGGCCCAGCCGCGCCCGCCTGGCCCCGTCGCGCCCGCCTGGCCCCGTCGCACCTGCCTGGCCTCGCCGCGCCCTCCTGGCCCCGTCTCGCCCGCCTGGCCCCGTCGCACCCGCCTGGCCCCGTCCACTCGCCTGGCCCCGTCGCGCCCGCCTGGCCCCGTCGCGCCCGCCTGGCCCCGTCCACCCGCCTCGCCCCGTCGCGCCCGCCTGGCCCCGTCGCGCCTGCCTGGCTCTGCCGCGCCTGCCTGGCCCCGCCGCGCCCGCCTGGCCCCGTCGCGCCCGCCTGGCCCCGTCGCGCCTGCCTGGCCCCGTCGCGCCCGCCTGGCCCCGTCGCGCCCACCTGGCCCCGTCGCGCCCGCCTGGCCCCGTCGCGCCTGCCTGGCCCCGCCGCGCCCGCCTGGCCCCGTTTACGGTCCTGTGTTCCCGCCGCCGGACTCGTCTCCGGCCCGTCCTCCTCCTCGTTCCCCTCCTGTGTCCCCTCCGCTGCCTCCTGACCCTACACCTCCGTCCCACGTTTGGTCTCGCCGTCCCTCCCGTGCTCGTCCCGTCTCTCCTGTCCTGCGCTCCCACCCTATGTTGCTCCGTTCCCACTCGTCTCGTCCTCCCCTCCTCCCGTCGCCTCCTCCCTCGTCGCTTGCTGTTGTACCTCCTCCGTTGTCTGACTACCTCCGCGCCGCTCGTTCCCTTGTCCCTCTGGATATTGCCTCTCTTGTTACCGACCCTTCTGTTCCTGTCTCGCGCCTTGACGCACTTGTCGTTGCTGTCGCTGACTTCGCCTCTACCCACCGCCTTGACTACGCTACCGCTCTGGTCTCTGACCCTGCCCGTCCTCCGTCCGTCGGGGGTGCACCTGCCCTTGGCAGTGACGTTCTAGAGGACAAGCAGTACGAGCTCGCTTTCCTTTCCGAGGCCGCTCCCCATCTCTGCTCCATGTTGTTAGTCCCTGAGAATGACCCAGACGCCTTCGACATCTCGACCCCTCGCACTTACGCTGAGGCCACCTCGGGACCTTGGGCCTCTCAGTGGATAGCTGCCATAGAGCAGGAGATGGCATCTTGGAGGTCCACCGGCACTTACGTCGACGCAGTTCCCCCGCCTGGGGTAAACGTAGTCGATGGTCGGTGGCTCTTCAAGGTGAATCGCCCCCCTGGAGAGCCGCCTGTCTTCAAGGCGTGCTATGTGACCAGAGGTTTCAGTCAGTGCGAGGGGGTTGACTTCTTCCAGACCTTCGCCCCGACCCCAAAGATGACCACTCTTCGGGCGTTGCTACACGTAGCAGCACAGCGCGACTACGAGCTTCACTCCCTCGACTTCTCTACTGCGTTTCTTCAGGGCAGCCTACACGAGCAGGTCTACCTGCGCCGACCACAGGGCTTCACTGGTACCTTCCCCCCTGGGACCCAGTGGCTTCTCAAGCGCCCGGTCTACGGCCTGCGTCAGGCTCCCCGCGAGTGGCACGACACGCTGCGGGCCACGTTAGCAGACTTGCAGTTCTTTCCGTCCTCTGCTGACCCCTCGTTGTTTGTGCGTTCCGGCCAGACTCCGTTCTACATCCTTGTCTACGTAGACGACCTGGTCTTCGCTACTGCTGATAGGGACGCACTGGCCTCTATGAAGGCCGAGCTGCTGAAGAGACACACCTACACTGACCTTTAAGAGCTGCGTCGCTATCTTGGCCTGCAGATCTCTAGGGACAGAGCAGCACGCACCATCACTCTGACACAGTCACACTTGGTGCGTCAAGTCCTTCAGAGGTTCGGTCTTCAGTTCTCCTCCGCACAGCCCACACCTCGACCTGTAGACCATGGGCTCTCCGCTCCCATTCCTCAAGAGCCAGTAGAGCCCAGTGGCCCCTACGCAGAGCTGGTGGGTTGCCTCATGTACCTGATGACTTGCACTCGCCCAGATCTCGCATACCCTCTCAGCATCCTGGCTCGCTTTGTAGCTATAGGCAGACACCGACCTCAGCACTGGTCTGCCGCTAAGAGGGTTTTGCGTTATCTTGCAAGTACATCGAGCACGGGGTTAGTGCTAGGAGGACGCAGACCAGTGGTCCTCACTGGGTACACAGACGCTTCTTGGGCAGACGACTCATAGACTCTCAGGTCGTCTCAGGGCTACTATTTTAGTCTTGGTTCGGGTGCTACTGTATCTCTTGGAGATCCACTCGCTCGTCGTCTGTTGCTCAGTCCAGCTGTGAGGCTGAGATCTACGCCAGTGCCATGGCGGCACAGGAGCTCCGCTGGCTTACCTTCTTGCTCGCAGGCTTCGGTGAGCAGCCTAGCTTTGCCCCGGTCCTGTACGCTGACAACAGGGCCATGATTCTCATGTGTTAGGAGTGTCACAGGATCGAATGTGTCGAGGAAAGGTTGCACTATCGATCAGTACAAGGCGCTTTTATACTTCCAAAGTACATCAGGTAACCATGTTAATCCTATCCAAAGGGAATAGAACCTTCTAGAATATAGAATTACCCTGCGTATAGCCACGCGAGGCTATTGGCTTTAAGGGATTACGGTAGGATTACGCTAGATATAGCGCCCAGTACATCCCAAGCCTGGTCGGTGATATAATTATAATAGCAGGATAAGCCAAAGGATAATGGAAAAGGGAGAATAGGAAACCAAATGAGATGGGATAAAGAGAGAAATGAAATAGGATGGAAATAAAGAAAAGGCCAAGTGGTGTAACGGGGTCGTACTCTCACACTTCCCCCCCTCAAAGCTGGGTGGTAGAAGTAACACCCTGCTTGACAAGGTAGTCCTGCAGAGGACGACGGGCGTTACCCATATCGGACTCAGGTACCCAGCTGTCCTCAGAAGGATCATAACCCTTCCAACGAATGAGAAGCTCCACGGCGCCATTCCGACGACGGCGGTGTGCAAGCACGGACTCGACCTCGTACTCGGGTTCATGCTGGACGAGGACGGGCGGCAGCGGTTGGCGTCCAGCGAAGATCGTGTTCGGATCCCGATAGGGCTTCAGAAGTTGGACATGGAAGGCATTGTGAATCTTCCAGGTAGCTTGCAGGCGTAAGCGGAAGGTAACTGGAGTGACCTGTGCTTCAACGAGGAAAGGCCCGCAGAAGCGAGGTCGAAGTTTAGATGGGAGATGGCTGACGTCAAGATTGCGTGTGTTGAGAAGCACCTGGTCTCCCACAGTGATGGTGTGGTCGTTGCGATGGCGATTGGCCTGGCGCTTCTGTTGCTGTTGAATGTCCAGGAGGCGCTTGTGGGTCCGATCCCAAAGCTGATGCATGGTTGTGATGAAGTCGTGTGCTGGTTGGAATGTTGCTGATGTTATCGATTTCTGTGGTGTGAGTGGGTGGCGTCCGTAGCAGAGAAAGAACGGCGTCTGTCTAGTAGCGGCATGTGTAGCGTTGTTGTAAGCAAACTCTAAAACGGGCAGGTGCAAGTCCCATTTGGAGATCTCGTCCTTGCAGGCTGCTCGGAGGAGTTGCTCAACAATCTGGTTGAGGCGCTCGGTCTGTCCGTCTGTCTGCGGATGGTAGGCGGATGACATGGCGAGTTTGGTCCTGAGTAGAGACATAAGTTCCTTCCAGAACTTGCTGGTGAACTTGGGGTCTCGGTCGGAGATAAGTGTGGTTGGAATGCCATGCTGTGAGATGATGTATCGAACGAAGAGTTGTGCTGTTTCTTCGGTGTGTGCTGTCGTGTGTGTCGGGATGAAGTGTCCCATTTTGGAGAACTTGTCGATGACGACAAGGATTGCGTCATGACCGCTGGTGGTCGGCGGTAACCCGGTGATGAAATCCAGGCTAACCACTTGCCATGGTTGGTCTAGGATAGGAAGAGGCTGTAGCAGTCCTGCCTTCTTCTGCGTGCTACTCTTCATCCGCTGACATGTATTACATGAGGTGACGAATTTATGAACATCTTCTGTCAAGTGGGGCCAGTAGTAGTGCTTTGCGATACCGGTGAGCGTCTTGTTCCTACCGAAGTGTCCCGCGTACAGGACGTCGTGGTATTCTTCGAGTAGTAATACCCAGATCTTCATTGATCCTTTCCGGTACGAGATGTCGTTGTCCCACTATAGCAGATGTCGCTTTTATGCCAAGGGAATTTCAGGGTCGATGGTGTACCCGTGTGTGAAGAGTCCCTTGAGGAGTGGATTCATCCCTTCAACTTAGATAGCGGCAACGTGTGCACGCCGGCTAAGCACATCTGCTTTGTTTTTGTGACTGGGCTTGTACATGATATCGTAGTGGAAGTGTCTCTCGAGGAAGTCAATCCACCGGACCTGCCGCCTGGAGAGGCTTGGTTGAGTCTTCAAATATTTTAGGCTGCAATGGTCGGTGTAGACTGTCGTCTTGCGTCCTTCGAGATAGCATCTCCATGTTTTGAAGACGATGATGATAGCAAGGGCCTCCTTGTCGTGTATTGGGTAGTTGAGTTCTGCTCCATGTAATTTTTTTTCTGAGGTAGGCAATTGGTTGCAGTCCATTCCCCTAGTGTTGCATCAAGACTGCTCCCACTGCGTGGTCGCTGGCGTCAGCTTCGATAACGTAGTCGCGTTTGGGGTCTGGCAAGATGAGTACAGGTGCAGACATGAGTGCTTGTTTCAGCTGCTCCATGGCTTCTTGGTGTTGTGGCTCCCATTTATAGGGCGTGTTCTTCTTTAGCAGATTCGTGAGTGGCACGGCGATCTTCGCGTATTGAAGCACAAACCTGTTGTAGTAGTTAGCAAAGCCAAGGAATTGCTGTAACTCCTGCACGTTCTCGGGTGTCTTCCACGTACGTACGGCCTTGATTTTCTTGGGGTCGACGTGAACTCCTTGAGCGCTTACGATATGTCAGAGGAACTGGACTTTCTCGAAGGCGAAGTCGCTCTTGGATAGTTTGACGTAGAAGCGTTCTCGTCGAAGAATTTCGAAGACGCGTCGTAGGTGTTCGACGTGTTGTTGCATGTCGCGCGAGTAGATGAGGATGTCGTCCAGGTTCACCATCACGCACTCGTCCAGAAGTGGGCGTAGAATATGATTGATCTCTGCTTGGAATGTTGCAGGTGCGTTGGTGAGTCCGAACGGCATTACCAGATACTCGTACGATCCGTACCGAGTTCGGAAAGCAGTTTTGTGAACGGAATCGTCCGCCATTCTTATCTGCCAATATCCGGACCGCAGATCTAGTTTTGAGAATACCGTGGCTCCTCGAAGCTGGTCAGGTAGGTCATCGATTTGTGGAATCGGGTACTTGTTCTTGATGGTCTGCTTGTAGATACTCGATCTGTTTCTTCATGTCGGCTAGTTCTGTGGGGCTTAAACGATATGGTGCTCGGAAGGTCGGTTTCGAACCTGGTTCCTCCACGATCTCGTGTTGGTGCGTTCGGTATGGCGGTAGCTGGTCCGGAAAATCGTAAGGGAGACTGTCTTGGAACTCGTTCAGCAATTCCTTGTTTTTTCCTGGAGGTTCCGAGGTCTTCTCTCCGTCTTTTTCCACCTCTGTTGCTATCGCCAGGAACCCGGTGTCGGTTCGCTTCACGTCCTTCTCGAATCGTGCGAGTGTCTCCACTGGGATATCTCCTGTATCGTCCCTGTTGGGTAGTTGGACTCTCCTTCCTTTGTTGTAGATCCTTGCGGTGCGGTTCACCCAGTTAATCTCGGGGTTGAATCTTTTGAGGAAGTCTCGCCCGAAGATCAGGTCAAGCCCTTTGATGTTGGTGATGGGGAGTGCAGGTCTCCGGCGCAGTGGTCCGATTTGTAGGTGAAACACTGCTTCGCCGTGCACTGGTAACTTGCAGCCATCCACCATCATTGCAGAGAATCTTGAAGGCTTGTACTCTTCCCGAAGTCGGTCGATTACTGCCTTGTCGCAGACGGTGTGCGATGCTCCGCTGTCCACGAGTGCTTGGAGGCGTCGTCCTTTGCAGATGACCTCGAGCACGAGCGGCAGGCATTGCTCGGAGTACCCAAAGATAGTTTCATTGATAGGATCATAGGGTACATCCCAATATTCGTTGCTCCCTACTCCTGAGCTGGCAGCTGGCCAAGGCTGCTTGGAGAACGGTTCTTCTCCAGGGCCCGGAGTTTCCTTGACGACTGTGCGCGTCGCTGACGAAGTTGCCGAGTTGGATGCTTCCGGAGAAGGAGTTCGGGGTTTTTGCAGCTTTTTGTAGACCCCCAGCTTCCTCTTGAGCTGCTTCAGCTCCACCGACGTCTTCCCTGGGGAACGGGTAGTCGCTGTGGGCTGGTGTCGGGAGAGGACGTTGACTCCGTGGAAAGATCGGCTTCTTTCCACACTCCTTAATTTGGTCCCCAAGTTTTCCGGTACCGGTATGACCTCCACAATTTTCTGCTTCTTCTGGAGTCCCTCCCGAATTTTCTCCAAGGCTCTAGCCCCTCGAGAATTACAAGTTTTCATTAAAGCATCTTTATAGGATAGCTTTAACGAATCCTTATAATTTCTTGGGTCTTCAAGGAGATTCCCTGTCTCGGCAGAGTCTTTTTTCGCGGAGTCGGATTTTTTCTCGGCGATTTTCCCTGGCGAAGACTGGTTGTGGGGTGGAGATTTTTCCCCATCATTTTCTCCTGTTCGCGACGAATCAGCTGCGTTGAAGGTGATTTTTCGGGAATCCCGCGGCCGCTTCCGGATCTTTTCTTTTTCGCCAGCTAGATCCGCAATCACTGGCGAGTCCCGTTTTTTTGTTTCTGATTGGCCGAAGGATTTCCGCCACTATTGCATGCCCGATAATCTGCGCGTGCGACTTTCATTTTGTTGTAGTCGAAGATTCGATGACCCGGCACCCCGCAAAAATCACAAGTGTAGTTGGTGTTTTTCGGACGTGGCCGCCCTTCGAACCTGTTGACTTCCATCGGGTCGGCGAACGTGGGGTGAGCCGAGCGGTCGCCCTGTCGCGTACTGCCGACGTGTGTCCGTCGTGTCCCGGCGTTGACCATGTCGAAGCGCTCCGCTGCCGAAACGACGTCACTGTAGCTCGCGTAGTTTGACGCTGCTACCTGGCGTTTGACTTCGGTCTTCAGCCCGGCGAGGTACGATTGTACTTTTTCCCCTTCGGTCAGGTCGGGAATTCGGTTATAAAATTCCTCCATCTGCTGCGTGTACTGCGCTACACTCCCGAACTGTCGATGGCGATGATTTTTTTCCCGGGCAAGGAAACCCGAATTCAGCAGGTCGGCGCGGAACCGCTGCCACGTGGCTTCACCGTGGATGAAGGTACTGTTGCCGCCAATCCACTCGAGTGCCGGTCCTCGCATCAGCAATGCCGCGAGTCGTACGCGTTGACTGTCCCAGACTGGCGAGCTCCATCCGACGTCTGCGAAGTAGATCTCCATCCTGGCGATCCATCTGCGTGCGTCAGAGTTTCGATCGCTCGGATCGAACGGCTCAGGTGGGCGCGGTTTCGGAGCCTCGAGAAACTGTTGCGACTGCTGCGTCGTCGCCGTTGTCGTTTCGTGTTGCGCCCCGGCGAGTCGAGTTACTCGCTCAAACTCGTTTCGCCAAGCTTCACGGTCGGCTCGCATCTCCTCCTGTAGGGCGGCGATGCGTGCGAAGAGCTGCTGGGTAACTTCGGCGTTGTCAAAGTTCGCCATCCTGTTCAAAACACGCACGGAGGGGGTAATTCGAAAATCGGCGTCGAATTGGTCGCCCCCGGCGGTTTTTCGAGGCAGGATCCCCCGCTGCTGCTGCTTAGCTGAGCGCGGCCGAGTGAGAAAAGCTCTGATTACCAAGTGTTACAGGATCGAATGTGTCGAGGAAAGGTTGCACTATCGATCTGTACAAGGCGCTTTTATACTTCCAAAGTACATCAGGTAACCAGGTTTATCCTATCCAAAGGGAGTAGACCCTTCTAGAAGATAGAATCACCCTGCATATAGCCACGCGAGGCTATTGGCTTTAAGGGATTGCGGTTGGATTACGCTAGATATAGCGCCCAGTACATCCCAAGCCTGGTCGGTGATATAATTATAATAGCAGGATAAGCCAAAGGATAATGGAAAAGGGAGAATAGAAAACCAAATGAGATGGGATAAAGAGAGAAATGAAAAGAGGAAGGAAATAAGAAAAGGCCAAGTGGTGTAACGGGGTCGTACTCTCACAAGGAGCCTCGGCTTGAGGGCAGAGCGAAGCATATCCAGCTGCAGTACTTCCTCTTGCGCGAGCTACAGCAGCGTCGCCAGGCCCACGTAGTTCACTTGGCCTCCGGTGCCAACACAGCTGATATCTTTACTAAGGCGCTTACGCCTTAAGATCATCAGCGGCACTGTGTTCAGCTTGGTCTTGCTCCTGTAGCTTCTCACTTGTTAGGACCCTGACTTGTGTACTCCTCACTATATATATACTGTACCTGTTTGACTAGCCTTGTGGCTTTACTCCCAGTGTCTGGACTAGTAGTGCCGCCCTGGTTTGCTTTTGTCTTGTCTTTACTCTTGCTGACTGGTCTTTGGACCCCTGCCTCAGTGGTTGGACTAGTAGTGCCTCCCTGAGCTGTGTACTTCTTGCTTGCACCACCTCTTCTCTAGCCTAGGGGGTGTGTCAACTTATACTTGTCATGCATGTAGAAGTTATAGGCTAGTATCAGTGTGTCCTCCTAGAGAGTACAACCCAATATCTATGTGTTCCTTGTTTCACCTTCTAGTCCATTCATTCTCGTATGTTAACACCCGAAACCCCTCGAGCACCGGTACCACCCCCAGGGCCACCGGGACAGGCCACGACAGGAACCCCAGGACTAGCACCCACCCCAACGCGAGCACTCCCAGAGTCGACGAACTGCTGCTGCGGCGGCGGCAACGACGGGTGCGGCAGCGGCGGCGGCGGAGACGACGGCTGCGACAGCAGAGGCGATGGCGGCTGCGAAGGCTGTGGAGGAGGAGACACCTGGGGAGGGGCAGACGGCAAGGACTGCGCCGCAGGTCCACCAGAGTCAGAAGACTCCTCGACCGGGACAACCGACGGGAGAATTGCGAGGTGTGGTAAGGTGTGCTGGTTGGGCGCTGTAACTGTTCGGCAAAGTTCGTCAACCCAAAACCAAAACCTTTGGATTTGGTTTTCTGCTTCTTGAGACCCTCGCTTTAAGAGTCAGTGGCAGACGGATCCCCTGACTGACTTGGCTGCGCCGCCCGATTTTCAGCATCTCCACCGGGTGGTAGTACGATACATGCTATCGACCGCTCCCGGTCGAATAAAGGAGGATGAGCTTGCAGATCACCCTGTGGTGGTGGATAGAAATATTTTCCGCGCTACACGACAGGCGAACGATTTGTGAAAATCGGTGTCGTAAAGTTAAGACTAGGACGCCATGACTATGGCGGCGGGGTTTAGGTAGGAGGTAGGCGAGTTGTTTGACGAGAAGAAAAAAAAGGACTAGGAAAGAAGAGAGAGGGATACAAGGAGGGGTGTTGTACCCCCTACAGAAATGTTCAGTAACATCTACCAAGCCTACACTTATATGTTAACTTATATAATTTAACAAATCGGATGCTGTACAGTGGGAGGCGCGAGAAGGAGGTTAACGAAAATAACGAAGGATTTTTGCGACAACGATCGGACGGTACGCGGAGCTCGAGTCCGATACGAACGTCGATGATTAGTCGCTGCAATCGACGGAGTTGCGAGCTTTTCGAACGAACGTGCGCGGTACTGTTTTGGAGAAAGACGAACGTGGGCGCTGGGTGAACAGCGGCCTACGGGGGTTTTTATCGTGAAGCAGCAGTTGAAGAAACTTTGAAGCAATTTGGAGCAGCTTTTTACAGAGACGGTTTTTTCAGGGAGGGGAAGGAGAATCCCTCACGTAAGCTGCAAAGCAGTTGCCCGCGAATTAGACTTATTAATTCGCCGAACTACGATAGCGTTTGCGCTTACCTGAGTACGGGCACACGGCGGATTCACCCCTGCTTTGGAGTGTATTCATCAAATGGAGTTTCAGGACAACAAGGGTTACTGTTGCAGTGGGAAAAACGTGATGCCGTCACGGAAAATTTGGAATCAGGCGGGAGTCTTCAAGGATTATTCCTGAGTTGCGGGGCTATAATCGAAAGACTTGGCTGCGAGGACTCATTCGGGGATTTACCTGGACGGGCGCAAAGATGGGTGAACGTCGGCGCGTCGCTAAACGTCTGGTGTTTTCCGGGTGGGAATTTTTCAAGGTTTTGGCTGGAGCGGTAGCTGGGGTCACGTGTACCTACCGAGCTGTGCGATGGTTTACAGTGGCGGAATAAATTGTCCACATGTTCAGCCTTTTTTGGCATTTTGATGAGTCCAGCGATGTAAACATTAAGCCTTAATGTATAGTGTGCATACACGCTGAGAAGTTCAGTTAGAGCACTCACTCGAGTTGACAAACACCAAAGTAGTTCCACACATGGTCCTTAAACACCTAAGCATAGCATAGGATAACATCCGGACAATTTGTACCGAAAATTGGTAGCATACTAGATTCTGTGAAAACTAGTACCTAGTCCAGCGTCCCTTTGCCCGAATCACTGCCTTGATCCTCCTCGGCAGGCTGTCGATCAGGTTTGCACACACCTCTGCCGGTATCTTGTCCCATTCCTCCTGCACCCTCTCCCACAGCTCCAGCATTCCACTTGGCGGCTTTTTGTACTTCGCCAGCTGCGTTTTCAAGTGTGCCCTCAGGTGCTCAATGGGGTTAAGGCCCAGGGAGCATGACGGCCATTCCAGCACCGCGTACTCCTGCTCCCCAAGCTAGTCTTGGACCAGACGAGACCTGTGCTTGGGATCATTGTCGTGCTGGAAAATGACCTCTGAGGGGGAAAGCTTGAAAAAATCGATGGTCTGTTTGAGCTCATCTTGCAAGATGCTGCGATACAGCGGCCCATCCATCCTGCCATCTATCTTGCACATGAACCCCGCCCCCTCATACGTCATGCAACCCCACACCATCACAGAACCGCCCCCATGCTTAACTGTCTGTTGGACTTGGTGGCTCTGAAGGCTGGTGCCCTCGCGAATCCAGGCGTACGCACGTCCGTCGAAGCAGTAGCGGTTTATCTTTGTCTCGCCAGACCAAATCACCCGCTTCCAGTCCTCCATCGTCCAGTCAGCATGCGACCGCGCGAAGTCGAGACGATCACGGATGTTTTTCGGTGAGAGCCTGGGTTTCTTGGGCTGATGCACGGCGATCAGCCCCGCGGATCGTAATGAGTTTCGGACCGTCTTCGAGTCTACGGCGAGACCGTGCTTCTCCAACAACATATTTGCCGCTTCTACAGAGCTTTTCACCTCGCCGCTTGTAATCGCGCGTATTATTCCGCGCTGGAGACGGGTAGTGATTAAGCGGGGGCGGCCGGCCGAAGGCATCGTTGGTCGCACCTCCTCGAGACTAGTCTCGGCAGCCACTTTCAAACTGTAATCGTGCACGGTGCTCTTGCCTATGCCAAGAACTTTGCCTATTTTCCTAGTCGAATGCCCCGCACGCAACATGCTTATGATTCGCGCGCGCTTCCGCTCAGTTAATGGCTTCATGGCGATGCGGTCGTAGGCTCGCTTCCGGACTAACTCCTAAGACAGCAACTGTTGCGCGTAACGATGTACACACTGAGTGACGGGGGAAAATAGATCTACTCTTCTGCTCGGTTGGAAATGTCCGCATCGATAGTCGAGGAGTAATTTTCAACCCCACTTTCAGGTTGTGTCACAATCGCGCCAAGCAAGAAACGGTTGAAGCAGAACTCGGAAACCTTGTAACGGAATGGCAAAAAATGGGTGTTACTATTTTCGAAACATGTGTGGCATAGCGATACGTTTCAAAGTGTTAAACATCCGGGCAATTTAATCCGCCACTGTAAATACCAGCATGATTAGTCGGTGAAACTGCAGAAAATGCATTTTTCGTAGTTGAGAACTGTACCCGAGTTTATTCTAGGGTACATGCCGTCGCCGCGCGATGGGTGAACGTCTGCACGGTGAACCGGTCAGGTGGAGTAGCGAAATTTTCTACCGAGGGTAACAACACGAAGCACATCGATGACATTCTGCGGAGAAGAATTTTCATCTACGGTTATGGACAGAGCCAGAGTTTACGTGGCGCAGCTACCCTACGTTATAGGGTCGCGCTGAGTCTGGTCCCGACAAGTAGATTTTGAAGATACGTCAAGTTTTCGGGTCTGAAGAAACTTGAAGCAGGGTATTTTCGGCATCGACGACAAAATATTTTCTTTTCCAAGAGGGGGGAGAGAGCAGCTGTGCAGCAGTTGATTTTTAGATTTTCCCTCGACAAGTTTGACATCCGCTGCATGAGCATCGACGGACAAGTGCTGTTTGACCGACAGATTCGAGTTGGCATTTCGGGAATTTCGCAGGAGCTTGCAAAAGTTGAAGGTGTGTTTACATTAACCGCCTGAAGCGACATCGACTAGGGGAACTGGACCGGTTGAGCTTTCGTCCATGAGCTGATTGAATTCGCTGACTTTCGTGAGACACGGACGCGTTCTCTTGCGTGTATCGCGACTGACCTCGCATTTGACGAAGAGCTGGAGATCGTTGACTTTGCGAAATACGGACGCGTGTTTTTGCGAGTGTCACGACTCACGTGGAATTTAACGGGGAGCTATCTACTGTTGTGGAACCACGGACAAGTTTGGCGCATGCGGAAGATTCGGCTCGCCAACTTGCAGAAGTGTGAATAACGTAGTGTTACTGTGCGGATACAGTACACGACGATGGGAGTTGTACTTCTCTGCGAAGGACTCGCTGGAGACAAGGAAGCTGTGGTGCGGTAGTATCCCTACTGCCCGTTTGGTTCTGGGCAATTCGACCACGATTCGACAGCTACGATCGACGGCGATCGTTTCGACACGTTTCGACCGTTGGATGGAGTTTCTTGAAGAAGCTCGAGATTCTCAACAGTGGTGGCTTCACTACTACGAGATTCAGTTAGAGTGTGTGTAGTTTTGTTATTTGTGTGCTTATCTAGAAAGGGGGAGAGTGTAAGGAATTAGTAATTCCTTACTGAGGCTTGCTACAAGGCGTACGACTCGAACAGTCCCGAACCAGCGATAGGGTTCCAGACCTTTCAGTTCGAGCCTCCTGGGCCTTTCCGGACCTCGCTACGACACATCGAGGCCCTTCGACACTTTTCCCAAACCTTCCGGTCCTACGTCCAGGATCACCCTAGGCTTTCTATATATTGTGTTGTCTTTCATTTTATTGTCATTCACTCGTTCACAGTTTCGCCATTGCCCTCCGCACTAATCGGCAGTCCCATTCATAACACCGAGCCTTGAAGTTTTACATCGTTCAGAGAAAGCTGGACTATGATTTATCAATGAGATTCTCATAAAATTCATAATTATGTCTCCATTTTGATGGTGCTTCAAAAGGCACGGCAGACAGCTTCCTTTACAATATTAGCGGAGCACCCGTGACCCGAAACTGGGGATTTCACGGCCACTGTTTCCCTGCACTGCTGTTAGCCGCGCGTCCAGCTTCGTTTGGAAGGTTCGTTGGTAGGCCAGTGGGTACAATTGGTCCGAGGCTGTCTCGAACCACCGGCCAGGAATCGTGCTGGCCCACGTGAACTGCCCTTGCTGACTCAAAACAGCTTCGAGGGGCGGCATCTACTGCTGGGGTAGGCGTTTGTCAGTCTATCTGCCACGTGGTCAAATGGGCCACCTAGGTAGTTCAGCCCATTGGGTGCCAGGCTGAAAGATTTCCTGAAGTCCCGCGGGAAGTTTGGATCAGATGATCAGTCATGACAACCAACGCATCTGGCTCCTCTGCCACAGTCCGAACAGCACTCCTGTTCGTATCATGGTTACTTCAAGTAGGCGAACGACAGCTTAGCTGATCAAGGCGAACTATTTTCGTCAACGTACCCGTGACGAGCAGATTGCCGAAACGGGAATTTTCCTGTCTTTCGTCAACATCTCTTCGCCTTCCTCACTGGCTTTGATCCGATGCCTCATCGTCGCGTGCGTGTGACGCCTGCCGAATCACGGCGCGCCTTGCCGCTCTGCCACGACAGCAGGCGCACATGCGAGGGTACAACAGCGCATCGTCGAGGCGCCGTAATTTGCTCATTTGATTGCCATGCCATGGCCTGATGACCAAAACATGAATCCACTTTCTTTCTACCTCTCTTAGCTGATGTCCAAAAGTTTCTTAGCTTGATGCAAGATTATTTCCCCATTTCTTCTCAGATGGTAGCATTGCTCGCAACGTGCTTCCTTCGACGTCGTAAGATCCAGTGGTGCTGAACCTTGACATTCGCTCGTTCTTCCCTACTCCACAATTTCCTCTCCAACTATTAGTGAATTGCCGCTCCAAGTCCCATTTCGGTCGTCGTAGCAAATTCTGGTCTCACCCGAAATCAACGGCACGCCACCATGTGTCAGCACACGGAGAACTCCATGGAAGCGGGGTCCCCGTTTGCACTCATCTCGCACATCGACGGTCTCGATTCTCACATCGCGTGCTCGTGCTCCCCTTCGTCATCCTCGTCATCCTCGTCATGCTCGTTCTCGCGGCGCCAGTGCAAGTGCGACGATTGCATCGCTGACTCCGCCGCGTGCGGCGGCTGCGGCAGCGTCGAATCCAGTCCTTCTGGGAGCCCTTCCTGCTGCTCCACGTCATCGCGCGCCACGACGCACGCGTCCACGTCACCATGCATCTCCCTGGGCGACATCGAGCAGCGCGGCCGCCTGTACAGCGCAACGAGCGGAATCCATCTCCCCGAGCCGACCACGCCCCTCCTCCCCGCCCCTCTCCTCTTCTTCGACGCTGGCACGCTGCTTCCCCCCGTTCTTACCCGCGGGAGTTTCACCACCGCTTCCGCTTCCGCGACGGATTCCGCCGGCTCCGCGAGTGCCGTTTCCTCGCCCCCCGCGCGGGGCTGCGGCGCGCGGGGGTCCTGCAGAATGATGAGCGACGGGGAGAGCAGCAGCGGGTGCTGTAGCAACGGCATCGTGGTGAGCAGCGACGGTCGAGATTCCGGCGCGGTGGCCGCGTGTCGAGCCACGTCTTTCAGACGGATAGTGGGGTTCTGTATAAAGGAGGACGGATGCGGCTGCTCCAGAAACGGCGGACACATTGAGGCGCCAACAGACTGGGAAGGGGGGCACCCGACTCGTGATGCGCGGGGAAGCACGGGGGGCCATTATGGGAACGACACGTTTTCTGGAAGAAACGAACGAGCGGAAGATGCGCGGCTCACTGCCCCCAGAGAAAGCGCGCCGACCGCGGAGGCGCGACTTGCGGAGGAGCCAGCGCTGGCGGAGCAGGTTCCGCGCGAGAGACGCCGGGCAGTGAGTGCGCGGGACGCAGGCGAGCAAGTGAAAGCGGAGCGGCTGAAGGCGAAGGGGGAGTTGACGCCGCAGCACGAGCAGATTCGGCAGCAGGCGCGGGCGGAGCAGCGAGGGGGCACGGGCGAGGCAACCCCTGCGCGGCGGTGCGTGAGCGAGGAGGGAGGGGGGCGCAAGGCGCGAGAGGAGAGCTGCTTGAGCGGGAGACATGGCGACGGCGCATTGCGAAGAGACGCAAAACGAACGTCCAGGATGAGACACTGACGGCAGGTCGAGTCTACTAGACTCTAGAGCACCTCCTGTGAAAGCCTCCACGAGTCATTATGGGAAAGCCGCACCTCGCACATTCCGGTGCTGAGCGGTTTGCCATGAGGGTGTGGTGCAATTCGTGCAGTGGGGCCCAAAGGTACCCCGCTACAAAACCTCACGATGCTGTGGTGTTCGGATGTTTTCTTATAATCGATTGCACTTCTATGAATCTTTTTCCTTCTATACCTTTGGGCCACATGAGGCATTGCGTTGCAACTTGAAGGTAGTTTGACGCTACAGTATGCATACAGTGCATAGTACAACAAATCATAGGCAGGTACAAACAAGTGTAGCAGCGGCACAGCTGCATCTAGTCACAAGCCTTCCTGGGGCTCCTGAAGGTGCCTTAGCTGGTGGTGCCAGCCAGTGTGCCACCGCATGTGATTGCAACCTATATAGCCACCGCAGATTGATTTACCTCCAGCCTAGGCCCAAACTTGCAAGACCGGCAGCAGTGGAGAGGAGAGAAAGGATGGAGGCCATGTGCTAGCGGGAGGAACGGCGGCACGCATATGGAGCGGGGCGGGAATACCATGTGCCGCTGTAGTGTTAGAGAGCGAGAGTAGAGGAAAGACGGAGCATGAGGGCACGACGACACGTGCTAATCACGGGATGTGGGTGTGCGTGCGTGCGCGTCGCGGTGGGCAATCACGAGCACGTGTTGGAAGGGGAGGGAGCGGCGCAGGCGGATCGGGCCGAGTCAAAGATGGTCCCGGACGGGCAGGTAACCTGAAAGGACGCCACCCCGCCCACGCACACACAGAAGCTGCTACAGCTCAGGTCCCACGGTACACGCACAAACGCGTCCGTGTAACCGTTACAGCAGTTTCCGCCGCCGATGCTGCCTGTAAAGGCGGCGGTCTGCGCCTGCACGGCTTTGCACTGCCTGGGAGCTTCCAGGGTGGAAAGAGGGCGTGCGGGGGAGGAGGATGTGGCAGGAGTGGTGGTAGTGGTGGAGGGGGATGAGACGGAGGAGGATTGAACGCCGTGGGAAGTGGAGGGGGAGGAGTTGGAGGGTGGTGGGTTGTTGAGCGCCTTGGGCGTCTCCACGGCACAGCTCCCTGAGGTGGCCCGTGGAGGATGAGGGGTTGGGATGGGTGGGAAGGGGTTAGACGGAGGGAGGGGATCTAGGGAATGCAGAGTGCCTGAGTGAGACGGAGGGTTGGCAACTTGGCATGCAGGATGGAGACAGAGGAGAACAGCGTGGGCCAAGGGGATGAAGCAGCACACAGATCCAGTGCACATGCCCTCACGACCAGATGGATGCATGCGCGCAGGGACTTCCGACACATGGTTTTGAGTCGACTCAAAAGCAGAATCCCAACAAATGGTACTACAGCCTACAACCATCCACGGCGCATGAGTCATGACGACCCACCGTGGCCAATGGGAGCAAAGGCGTTCCAGAGGCGTTGGATGAGGAAGACAGAGCCATCGGCCGCCGCCATGTTGTAGCCGAATGACTGCCCCCCCGCGTCCACGCCCACGGTCACAGCGCCAAAGTCAAACGAGCACATGTCGCCGATCTCGCCGTTGTTGCCCGTCCACCCCGACCTCCCGTCTGCCACCAGAGAGGAAGAGGGGGGGGAGGAGGGGGGGAGGATGGAGGGAGAGAGAAGAGGGAGTGCCAGGTGGGTGCTGAGTGCGGCCGTTTGGAGGCGTGCACCGACAGCAGAAGCAATCGAGCACGGGGTGGAGTAACCCAGTGTGCCCCATAAGTCAGCTCAAGCACTACAAAGCTCTGGTGACCGTGGATGGCGTCCCTGCGCCCTGGGCCTTGGGCTCGGCGGACTGAGGCATTGCCCACCTGGGTTGGTAACCAGCTCACTCTTGAGTGGACTCAAAATTCACCTGGGTTGGTAACCAGCTCGGCGAGCTCGTGAGCGAGGATGGAGACTATGCCATCCACGCCCCAGTACCCGCTGTTGGGCAGCTTGTACGTGCCGTACCCGCCTATGCACCCCGCCGCGCACTGCGTCGCCGCGTTGCCTGGTGGGGCGAGGGGAGACGGGGGATGGGGAACAGGGTACGGAAAGGTGAGGGGAGGAGAGGCGAGGGGAGGAGGCGTAAGGGAGAGGTCAAGAGGGTTGTGCTAGGACAGAAAGGGCAGAGGGCGGGGGTGGCAGCGTCTTAAAGTAGCAGGCAACGCCATCATTGCAGATCGACCTTTGCATTTTGGGTTGTGACACGGAATGGGCAAGTGAAGGAGGTGGGGAGCGGAGGGGCTAGGCGGCAAATGAGGGAATGGGGGGGGGGGCGGGCGCAGAGAGAGAGGAGGAGGGGGAAGCTCCAGATGCAGTGCAGTGCTGTGTAGGTATTTTTGAGGCGCCTCAAAAGAAGAATGCAAGTACGCACCGACGTGTGTGAATGTGAGCGGGTAGCTCTCCTGCGGGCCCAGCATGACCCCTGACTGGTGGTGCCACCCGCAGTACCCCTTGCCCTTTACGCCGCAGAATGACTGCCGCGCGCATGACGGACAGCAGGGGAGCGGTAAAGAGGGAGTGGAAGTTAGGAAGGAGTGAGGGGGGGGAAGAATGGGGGGGAGGGAGAGTGAGGAAGGAAAGGATGAGCGGGTATGGCGTATGCGCAATTGGAATGTAAGTGGTGAGCGATGGGTGATAGCATAGCAGCACCGTCCCCTGCCTCTCCCCTCGCCCGTCCATTCTCCACCCCACCCCCTACGCCCCACTCTTTTCCCCCTCCCCCTCCTCCCCTTCCTCCCCCCTTTCCCCGCCTCCCCCACCTCATCGCTCCCACACACCTGCGATTGGTCCGCGCTCATCAGCGTGACGTCATCCGACGTCAGCACGACGTACGCGCCCGCGGGATCGAACGGCAGCGCGCCGGCGTTAATCGCATCTATGATGATGTTGAAGACGCTCGACGTGTCGGCGCCCAGGTGCCGCCCCTGCGAGTACTGCGCGTTGCGGTGCTCGCCCTTGATCGTCACCTGCGCGCCGGGCTTCGCGCCCGCGCGCCCCGCGTACTGGCGCACGATCTGCCACCAGCTGTTGGGGGACGGGATGCCCTCCTGCGGGGGGAACGGGGGAGGGGAGGGGGAAAAGGGGGAAGAGTAGGGGTGTGGCGGAGGGATAGGGGAGGGAAAGGGGGGGGAAGAAGAAGGGGGGATAGGATGAGACAGAGTTGAGAGGGGGGTCAGACATGTGGGGGTCCGACAACTGGATAGAGAGGGCTGGGGGGGGGGATGGCGAGTGAGTGAGTGAGTGAGAGAGTGCGAGAGAGTGCGAGAGAGTGAGTGAGTGAGTGAGAGTGGGTATGAAGTGGTCCCGCGCGTACCAGTCCGGGCATGCCGAGGTTGTTGATGAAGTGGCGGATGTACTTCTGCCCACTGTCCCCGCCATTGCGGTCGTTATCCCAGTCGCCGTACCACACCAGGTACAGCGCCAGGTTCGGTTGCGCCAGGACCTCCCCGCCCTTGTAGCAGATCCACGCCGCGTCGGGCGTGGGCGTCTGGCACGCGCGCTGGAACGCGCGGGAAGAAGACGCCTCCGCGGCGGACGAGATCGTCAGCTCCCCGTGCGGCGCAAGCGCGCCAATCCCGCCGGTTCCGCCGCTCAGGCCCGCGCTGGTTTCCCCCATTGCGCTCGACGCGACAGTGCCACCGCTTCCGCCGGCGCCGCCTTCCGCCGCCCCCGCGCCCATGTCCCCCTCGTCGTCCCACGCGGGCTGTCCGCGCAGCGGGTGAATGCCCGAGGGCCGCCCCAAGTCTGCGCCGGGCGCAGCGTGCAGCAGGAGACCCTTGGAGCGCGGAGAGAAGGGCGCAGGTTGGGCGCTGGGGGCGGGTGCGGAGGGGGGGGCCGAAGTGGAGGATGGCGCGAGCTGCGCCTCTTCCTCCTCTTGGGGAAGGTCGGAGTCGGGGGAAGGGGAGGAGGCGGAAGCGGAAGAAGGCGCCAATTGGGGCGCAGAACCAGGGGCAGAGGCTGGTGCAGAGGCGGGAGCGGATTCGGGGGCGGAATCGGGGGAGGAAGCGGGCGCGGCGGATGGGGGAGCGAGAGAGGGCGGAGCAGCGTCTTCCTCCTCCTTACCATCCTTATCATCCTTATCATCTGCCTCCTCTGGATCCGGTTCGTCCGATTCTTCTGAGTCCTTGGATTTACCCGATCCCTCCGACTTCTCCGATTTCTCAGACTTATCCGATTCGTCCGACTTAACAGATTCGTCGGTCTCACCAGACTCATCATCTGCTTCTGACGCATCCTCGCCCTCCTCGCTATCCGATTTACTAGAGTCGTCTGACGTGGACGTCGTGTCATCTGACGTGGACGCCGTATCGTCTGACGTGTCTGTTGCACCTGAACTGGCGGTGTTGGAAGAGGAGGATGAAGATGATTTAGGCTTGTCTTTTGACGAAGAGGACGAGGAGGACGAAGATGAGGAGGAGGAATTGGAGCTAGACTTGGACGACGACTCAGGCTTCTCCTTAGAAGAAGACGAGGAGGAGGAGGAGGAGGAGGAGGAGGAGGAGGAGGAGGAGGAGGAGGAGGAAGAGCTTGAATTCGAGGAGGATTTACCGGATTCGTCTGTCGATGAGGATTTATCATCGGACGACGAGGATTTACGGTCGGACGACGAGGAAGATTCACTGGATGAGTCGCCTTCCGAGTCCTTAGACGACGATTCTTTTGACGATTCTTTTGACGAGTCTTTCGACGAGTCTTTCGACGAGGAACTGGAAGTCTTGTTCTTGGAGCTGCTGCTGCCGCCGCTGTTGCTGCTGCTGCTGCTGCTGCTACTGCTGCTGCTGTTCTTGGATTCTTCGACCAACTCCGAGAGTGATTTCTCCTCCTTGTCACTGCTGCTACCGCCCTTGTCCTCGCTACTACTGCTGCTCTTGCTGCTACTACTCTTACTGTCGTCGCTACCACTGCTGCTACTACTCTTACTGTCGTCGCTACTACTGCTGCTCTTACTGCTGCTATCGCTCTTGCTGTCGCTGTCACTACTGCTGCTCGCTTGTGCCAAATGCGAGGCGCTCTCCCCGAGAAGCAGCGCCACCAGCAGCAGAGCTACCACAGGTGTTAGGTCTGTCCGCCATTGCCGCCTTAGGCGCCTCATCTTCGCAACCACCCGTTCAAATCAGACCTAGTCAGACCCAACTGGATATAATCAGAGTGAGTGTGGCCTGGTCCAATCTTCGGCTATTCCGAAGAGCTAGAGGCCTCCAGCCAGTAGGACCACGTTTATGGTCGGTCAGACCTGGCTCCGGTGGGACCTAAACAGACGTCTTACAGCGAGAGGTAGGTATGGCGCGTCGATTGGCTGGCTAAAGTATCCTGCACGGAGTGGAGCGTCGCGTCGCGAGATACCTACGTGAAAAGGGGCTTTGGAGAGCTATCAGAGCAAAACCGAGTCGCGGATATTAGTGACCCAGCTGAGCCCTGGTGCGACGCTGTTCTAAGGACGGTACAAGCTACGCGACAAGCAATGGAGAGGACAGCATATGTGTGCGACCAAGGATTCTATGGTGTCAGCGCAGCAACGTCACTCAGCTCAAATCATTCAGTGGCTGCTGAAACTCGCTGCATGCGTGCCACGCGAAGTTCGAGAACCTGTTATGGCATGCGCAGCATAGCATGCAACAGATGGGAGGGTATGCTGTTCCCAATTCGAGGCCTCATCTTCCTCACCTCACCACCAAGGTTTGAGCTGGTGAAGCACGCACAACAGAAACATGGAGGGGGGCGAAGGATGAATGGCATGGCGCGGCCTATTGCACAAAGATCGGTACAAAGAGTTTAATGATAGCTTCTACTGCGGTGCAATGCGATGGCCTGATAGCTCTGTTTTGTTCAGGATGGCGGGGTGGATGGGGGTGCAAGGTAGGGAAGAGCAGTTCGGTTCAGGTGGATGGTCATGGTAGATAGATCACTGTGTACAGTGCTGTGAAGCACGACAGCAACAGAATGCTGGTGCTGCTGGGATGAGGTGGTGGTGAGCGAAGGATGGCGACATACGAGCGAAACCGGGGCTCAGACTTCGCCAGAGCACAAGTGCTCTCTCTGCCACAACACACGAGTGATGGCCACCGACGCAAAACTTCGCCACGGATTGGAGGGCGAAAGTGCTTTGATTCAGGTCGCGATGAGGCTTCCTTCGCAGGTGGATGATCAGCTAGGGTTTGTGCTGGGTGCGCCCACATCAAACAACCCTCGGTTGTTTCGTTTCACCAAGCACTGCCCCAGTGGGGTTCAGCCAGATCGCTGCTGTTTCAGGTATCCCCTGAACGGGACTGCTTAGGGCTGTCCAGCGCGTTCGTTTACTATTCACCTTGCATATCAGGGACAAATTTGACCTGGTAACCCGAAATTTCGTGTCCATTCGGACACGCACGATAATTTGACGGTTTTGGCGGACACCCTCCAAACGTGCCCACAGACGTGGGGCACACGTTTCCGAACCAAATGAAAATCGTGCGCAAATTATGTACACGGCAGAAACGTCCAAATCCTGGCTGGCGAAAAATAGGACGTTTATTTTCGCCAGGATTTCGTGATGCTTGCGAAGCACGGCGAAGAAAAGCGGAAGAAGAATTGGAGTTGCATGTTCGCCCTCCCGGGCCGGGCCTCGTAATGCGTGTTCGCCCTCCCGGGCGGGGCCTCTTTCCCGGGGCGAAATCAGGCTACCCTGCTTTTTTCGCGTCTCAGTCTGTTATATGCGCGCTGTCCACCCGCTCATTTGTCGAGCCACGGGCGGGGCTCGTGTCCGCGCGTTTTGCTGTTGATACGGTGGGTGTACCTCAACACATTCACACTTGGCGAATCAAGATTTCGGCGTGTTTAAAAAACGTCGAAAATTCGTGTTGGGGCAAAATGAACGCGCTGGACACGCCCTTATGTTTCAGATACACATGTGAAATGCGGGGTCAAACATCAACGGCAGCGATTGATGCTCACCAATTCTTTGCAAATCGGACTGGCTCACGATGGAGTGCAGCACCCTGGTCCTGATGATTTCGATTGTAGCTGCTTTGGGCAGCAATAGCAGAAGCATCCTTCTGATTTTCTGAAAGTGTTGGGATGATGTAGCGGATGAGGAAGCTAGCCACTAACGCCCTCCATATCATAACTATAGGTTATCAAAGAAAATAAGTATGATGCACCCTAAATCAATTACTAGCATCCAAACTACAGATATATATTTCTTTACATTTTAATATTATGAGGTAGTTTTCCTCTCCAATTACCAAGTCCGGTATGTGCTCTGTAGCTGCATCCTCTCATAAAGAACCTTCCATGTCTTCATGAAGCAGGGACAGCATACAGGATGCCCGTTCCGCACCTTTGTCCAAACCAATCCAATCACTGCGTCACATTGGAAAGCCCGCCTGACTGCGCTCCGCAGCGCGAGCCTCGAAATTGTATGGCGGGAAGACCGCTTCCAACGGCCACAAGGCCCTGGAGACAGGAGGGATCAGATGTGGTTTGAATGGAACATTTGCCCTCTTTCGCCCTGAATTTCCACGTTTGCGTTGTTTCTGGACTCCTTGCCGGAAAATTAAACCCGGCTGTGAACTGTACCCCTATTGTAGCCATTTGATACGAACAACGTGGTTTACAGGGGGGTTCAAATTTGAGGAAAGCCAAGCAAAGAGATACCTCGAGGCTAGTGTACTCCAGGAGGGTGATTCAGCTGTCTTGAAATTCCACCCGGCAGTTTCCAAGAATTCATCAAGCGTTCAGGGGAGCGAGGGAGGGATCGCGTTGGCGTTGATTGGACGAATCCCGCAGCGCGGCACTCTCACCATGCATGTGAGCGAGCGGCGTGCGTTCTCCGCAGAGATCAAGGGAGGAGGGAGACAGGGCCTTGGCTGGGCTGGGCGGCGTGTCTCCCTTCCCTTCCCTGGCTCGCCCAGCTGGGCTATGATCGATCTCACGGCATCACAAGAGTTCATTTTACCTCTTAACCCTACCGGATCGTAGTTTTAGTTCGATAATTCGTATTAAAACGTACAAAAACTCTCTTATCTCAGCCTGTCGCTGTCGCGTCGATTCGCTCTGCTCACTCGAGCCTTTCACTCCCTTCACTGCGCGATCCCCTTGACTGCTCCCCCTCAACTCCGCCCAAAACTCCGCCCGCCTTCCCTTCAGCACAACTACTCCGTCTCCTGCTTTGCCGAGCAACCAGTGGAGGAAATCGCTGGATTATCACTAGAGCACCACCGTCCTCAATCGAAGCTTATCTTCGCAGTTGGTGACGCGAGAGGGGAGTGTGCAGCAACGTCGATCGCTCGAACGTAGTTCTAGGGCTCCCAGACAAGAGCCGCAGACATGCAGGGCCAACCGCTTCTCTCGCCCAAAATGCGGCGTCAAGAGTCCGCTAATAACGGTCGCCGCGCAGTGCAGACTGGTGCCGTCGTGGGCCTAACATTAGCGGCTCTATTCCTGGCGTACATGTTCTCCATGGGGTCTTTCTCCAATAGCATCGCTCCCACCGCTGATATTCAGCCCGCATCCCAGGTTCGTGCGGTGGGGATTCACTTCCTATTCGAATGAATTTGTTGCGTCAGGCGAGAATCTTACTAACGCGCTGTCGCATGCGTGTGTGCAGAGTCGCAAGGTGGGCTCGTTTGGCGCGGAAACTACGGAGGAGGCGGAATCCGTTGAGGATGAGCCGGTGCTGCCACGGCTGAAGCCGGCTGACGTGTCGTCATCTCGTAGCAAGACCGCGGCTCTCTCCTCATCTTCCGCCGCGGAGGAACAATTGTCGCTAGAGAAACAGAGCGAGGCATCCGCGGACGAAAAGGCGACGCTGGATCTGGAGCTTACGGTTGAGCGCGACGCGACGACGGACGTAGTGACGCAAGAGCAGGAGAGCAAGCAGGAGAAACAGATGGAGGAGGGCAGTCAGGCAAGCGAGGAGCCTGCTAGTGGCGCTGAGAAGGAGAGTGAGGACGAATCCAGCGCCGAGAGCGACTCGGATTCTGGAAGTAATACGGAAGAAAGCGGCGAGTCGTCCAGCAGCCCGCCGCAAGAGGAAGAAGCTGAGCAGACTAGGTACGTGGAGCTTCTTGCTTATCTCGCCCGACGAAATTCTCGTTTTAAGGACTTCGTTGTGTGGAACGAGGAGAATGGCTGGGCCGCTCGCTGCTTGTTGTTGAATTCCTTTGTTCACGGTCATGATTTTTGTGTTGGTGATTTCTTCGCAGCGAGCCTAAGGACGAGGACAGCGAATCGCAGGAGGAGGAGTCGAAGAAGAGCAAGAAGTCGAAGAAGGGGAAGAAAGAGAAGAAGGAAAAGAAGGAAAAGAAGTCCAAGAAGCGTTCCAGTGGGGACGAGTCCACCGATGACCAGCAAATCGACGCGTTTCCTGTAAGCCCTCCCCAACCGATCGTGACACATGTGCCTTGTAGGAATCGTAACACGACCAAGCCGTCACTTCTCGAACGAATTCCGCCTTCCTCGCTTCCCGCCGCGACTCCTCTGCTCCCACCTGTCAACCCTTATCTCCTCTTCCGCTGTGCCGATTCTTCAGCGCCGATCTCGTTCGTCACTCGTTCCTCTGTGCTTCCCCCGCGCGTGCGCGCTGCGCAGGTGTGCGACCCGGAGTTGTCGGAGGTGATTCCGTGTTTGGACCACAACATCCACAAGAAGATGAAGCTGCACCTCAAGACGGGCCTCATGGAGCACTACGAGCGTCACTGCCCGCCCTCCGACCTCCGCGTGCGCTGCCTCGTGCCGCCGCCCGCCGACTACAAGGTACGCCCGCGAGGGGTACGGAAACGGAATCCAAGCGAATCGTACGACGAACATCTTGGGTTAGGTGGTTGACTCTAGAGCCCTCGTCACCTTGCCTTCCTCTCTGCCGTTTCTTCGTCGCTCCTCTTGCCCCCTGCTCCTCGCCCTTCGCCCCTGTGTGCCGCCAGACGCCCATCCGGTGGCCCGAGAGCCGCGACGTGGTGTGGAAGTCGAACGTGCCGCACCCGTTCCTGGCGACGGAGAAGTCGGACCAGCACTGGATGGTGGTCGACGGCGACAAGATCCGCTTCCCGGGCGGCGGCACGCACTTCCATGACGGCGCCGACAAGTACATCCAGTCCGTCGGCCGGGTCAGTGCCTGTCTCCGCACTTCTCTGCTCCCCTCCGCACTTCTCCGCGTCTTGGCCCCTTCGCCCTTGGTCCATTCCGCTCCCTCTTCGCCGCGCATCCATTCCGCCCATATCGTGCATCCGCCCTTTCCGCATAGCCTTGTTACCTGACCTTCTCCCGTTTCCGGTTCCGTTCGCCTTTTCACGTTCCTCTGGTCCTTTCCCTTCCCCACCGCCCCCCGCCCTCCCCCCCAACAGATGCTCAAGAACGAGGACGGCGATCTGTCGCTGGGCGGCAAGATCCGGACGGTTCTGGACATCGGGTGCGGGGTGGCGTCGTTTGGCGCGTTCCTGCTGGACCAGGGCATGATCGCCATGTCTGTGGCGCCCAACGACCGCCACGAGAACCAGATCCAGTTCGCGCTCGAGCGCGGGGTGCCGGCGTGGCTCGGCGTGCTGGGCACGAAGCGCCTCCCGTTCCCCTCTGCGGGGTTCGACCTCGCGCACTGCTCGCGCTGCCGCATCGACTGGGGCCAGCGAGGTACGCGGAAGCGGATGCGGCTGCCTAAGAATTCCTATGTCTCCTTTGCGCTTTCCCCGCGCCTCCCTCGCCTCCCCCGTCACCCTTTCCGGCCTTCCCCAATCCACTTTCCCCCCGCTCTCCCGCCGCTCTCTCCTCTCTCCATCCCCCCTCCACCTGTCCCCTCCAGACGGCGTGCTGCTACTAGCGCTGGACAGTCTGCTGCGTTGACTTTCGAGCTCACTCAAAAGCCATCCTCCCCTCTTTCTCTCTTCCCCCCTCCCCTCCAGACGGAATGCTGTTGCCGGAGCTCGACCGTCTGCTGCGGTGAAATATGAGTAGACTCAAACGCCGCCCTCCCTTCTCTATCTATCCCCCCCCCCCCCCCCCCCCACACACCTGTCCCCCTTCCAGACGGCGTGCTGCTACTAGAGCTGGACCGTCTGCTGCGGCCGGGCGGGTACTGGGTGTGGTCCGCGCCCCCCGCGTACCGTGACGATGAGGAGAGCCGCGCGCTGTGGAAGCAAGTGGCGGACGTGGCCAGGTGGGTGGACGATGGGTGGAGGTCGCTGGGTGGGTGTATGCTTCTGAGACTCGCTCCCTCGTCACACTCTCCCCACCACCCCCCCTCATACCGGCCCCTCTCGCTCTCTCAGTCCTTCGATATCCCTCCCTCATCGCGAGGAGTCTATTTTTGAGGCGCCTCTAAAATAGACCCCTCCCTCATCGCCCATGCTCTCCCCCATATCCGCCCATCCCCCACGCACCCATCATCCCATGCTCGCCCCGCCAGCCGGCTGTGCTGGACGCTGGAGGTGCGCGAGGCGCAGACGGCCATTTTCCGCAAGCCCAAGGGCGGCAGCTGCTACGGCGAGCGCCCCGAGGGCACGGTGCCGGCGCTGTGCGACGACCAGGGCCGCGAGGAGGCGAGCAGCACGTACAACGTGTCGCTCTCCACCTGCATCGCCGCGCCCTCCACTGGTACGTGCTGAGGTCGCTGGGCTGCTGTGGGAATGGCGTGCTGCTGGTGCCCGCGCTGTGCGATAGAGTAGGGCAGGGAGGAGGCGAGCAGCACGCGTAACGTGTCGCTCTGCATTGCCGCGCCCTCCACTGGTACGCCCCGTCTCGCTTCGTGCCTGAGGTCGCTGGGCTGCTATGGACAGATCGTGCCACTGCCTGCCTGTGCTGCTGCTCGGTGCTCGTCCCGTCCCGTCCCGTCCACACTTCGCAAGTTCCGTCCCGTCCCTACTACACTTAGCACTGCGCCGCTTCTCTCGATGCCCCTGCCTCTCTCACCACTCGCCCTTTCCTCTTCCCCTTCCCCATTTCCCCCTCCCCCCTCCCCCCCCCCCCTCCCGAGCAGACAGCGCAGTGAGCGTGGCGCCATGGCCGCGGCGGCTCAAGGCGCCCCCACCGAGAGTGGCGCTCACTGACGTGGACACTGACGCATACAAGAAGATGAACGTGAGTTGCGCTGCTGTGGTGTGGAGAGCGTGAGAGTGTGTGTGTGGTACAGGGTGTGTACAGGGTGTGGGGCAAGGGTGTATGGTGATTGTGGGGTGATGAGACTTTGCATGACCCCACTCACCCGCGTGCGAGTAGGCTTCACTGATTCTCATGGCAACCCTAAGTCCTCCTCGCACCCCTACCACATATCCGCGCCCTATCTTTCCATTCATCCATCCTCAAAACCCCCCTCCACCGCCCCCTTCCCCTTCCCCCGGCCCCGTTTACTCCCCCCAACAGAAGGTGTGGGCGGAGCGGGTGGACGCGTACTGGGCGTTGCTAGCAGACCGCGTGCAGCCAGACTCAGTGCGCAACGTGCTTGACATGAACGCGGGGCTGGGGTCCTTCGCTGCTGCTCTCACCGCTGCCAAGCCGGTGTGGGTGATGACTGCCGTCCCGCCCACGGATGCCCACGCCCTGGAGGTCATCTATGACCGCGGACTGCTGGGCGTGTACCATGACTGGTGAGTTGGCTGCCCATGACTGGTGAGTTCCTACACTCTCCACCTTATCTTACCTGTACCTCTGCCCTTCCGCCTGTCTCCTCGGTTGCTGCTTGGCTCTTCCTCCTCCCCCTCTTCCTCCTCACCCTCCTCCTCAACTTCTTCCCTCCCTCTTCCCCTCCTCTCCCTCCCTCTTCCCCTCCTCTCCCTCCCTCTTCCCCTCCTCTCCCTCCCTCTCCCTCCCTCTCCTCCCTCCCTCCCTCTCCCTCCCTCTCCCTCCCTCTCCCTCCCTCTCCCTCCCTCTCCCTCCCTCTCCCTCCCTCTCCCTCCCTCTCCCTCCCTCTCCCTCCCTCTCCCTCCCTCTCCCTCCCTCTCCCTCCCTCTCCCTCCCTCTCCCTCCCTCTCCCTCCCTCTCCCTCCCTCTCCCCTTCCCTTCTCAACCAGGTGTGAGGAGTTCTCCACGTACCCGCGCACGTACGACCTGCTGCACGCGCACAAGGTGCTCTCCCTGGTAACCTCCCGACACTGCTCCTCGGACGATCTCCTCCTAGAGATGGACCGCATCATGCGCCCAGGGGGCTTCCTTCTCCTCCGCGACTCCCCCGCCCTGCTCGCACGTGTGGTCGCCCGTGCCCCAGCGCTCAGATGGACAGTGCTGGAGGGGCCGCTGTCGCCTGCAGCTGATGGTTTGCCTGGGGAGGTGGAGGGCGAGACAGGGAAGGAGGAGGTTATGGTTGTGATGAAGAATCTCGTCAGCAGCGAGAGGTGATATGGTGCTGGTGATATTGCTCCATGGAAGTTCGGAGCACCTGCAGCTGATGACGTATTTCTTAAAGGTTGTGCATGCTTTGCCACCATAGCCCGTTTATTTGCTGCATTTACTTAGCCTAGCTGTTGGGACCTCGAAGTGTGGTGATGGGCGCACTTACAAATGCGCTTTGGTGTTCGAAAAATGTAGGCAATTGATGTTCAAATTAGCCACATTCTAGTGCATACTTTGCTAATCTAATTTCGATAAGTACAGTAGTGTAAGTGGTGTTTTGAAAGGAATTACCATTCCTTTCTGGGGCTCGCCACACCTTGTACATGCGAATCTCTCGGGTCCGCAGGCTCGGCCCTTGGTTCTCGCGCCAAACCAGCCCCCGCCGACCTATTCGGCCCCAACCTCATCCAGAGTCGCCCCGAACCCATTTTGACCCCGTCACCCTCGGGACTACCGAGCCCTTGACTAGTCCAACCCTCGATATTCAACCTGGTCTCTTAGAGCAGCAGAATGAACTAGAAAGAAGGGTACATGGTGGTTTTGACCTAAACTGTTGTACTCACTAAGGCATGCCCCTATCTAACCTACAGCAACCGATACAAATATGTTTGACACACCCCCTAGACTGGACAAGGGGCAGTGCCTGGCAAGAGACAAGCAACTCAAGGCGGCACTACTAGTCCAACCTCTGAGACTAGGGTCCGAAGACCAGTCACCAAGAGTACAAACTCGACAAGAGCAAGCCAGGGCGGCACTACTAGTCCGGCCACTGGAACAACAGCCACACGGCCAGTCAAGAACGAATATATATAAGAGGAGTACACAATCAAGGACCTAACAAGAGATGAGCTACAGAAACTAGACCAAGCTGCAAACAGTGTCGCTAAATGAACTTCAGGCGCAAGTATCAAAGTGAGAACTGAATGATTTAGTAGAGAGAGAGTACAGGTGAATATACCTAAGTGTTGTACCCTCTAAGAGGTGGCGCTATACAGTCTATGCAAACAGAGGAGATACACATGTTTGACACACCCCCTAGACTGCATAGGGGCAGGTCCTGAACAAGCAGCTCAGGGCGGCACTACTAGTCCAGCCTCTGAGACAAGGGTCTACAAGACCAGTCAGAAGGAGTACAGATAAGGCAAGAACAAGACCAGGGCGGCACTACTAGTCCAGCCACTGGGAGAGGACACAAGTCCAGTCTGAGTACACATATAAAGGACAGTACAAAGTCAAGGCCCTAGCAAGTGAGAGGCTACAGGAACTAGACCAAGCTGTACACAGTGCCGCTGATGATCTTTAGGCGCAAGCGCCTTCGTAAAGATATCAGCTATGTTGGCACCTGAGGCCAAGTGTACTACGCGAGCCTGGCGTCGCTGCTGTAGCTCGCGCAGGAGGAAGTACCGCAGGTGAATATGCTTCGCTCTGCCCTCGAGTCGAGGCTCCTGACACAGGAGGATCATGGCCCTGTTGTCAGCGAACAGGACCGGGGCAGAGCTAGGCTGCTCACCTAAGTCAGTGAGCAAGAAGGTCAGCCAGCGGAGCTCCTGTGCCGCCATGGCACCAGCGTAGATCTCGGCCTCACAGCTGGACTGGGCAACAGACGAGGAGCGGGTAGCTCTCCACGAGACGGCACCTGAACCAAGGCTGAAGCAGTAGCCCTGGGTAGACCTGAGTGTCTCGGCGTCGTCTGCCCAAGAAGCGTCAGTGTGTCCAGTAAGGACCACTGGCCCACGTCCTCCTAGCACTAACCCCATGCCTGATGTACTAGCAAGATAACGCAAAACCCTCTTAGCGGCAGACCAGTGCTGCGGTCGGTGTCTGTCTGTGGCCACAAAGCGAGCCAGGATGCTGAGAGGGTATGCGAGATCTGGGCGAGTGCAAGTCATCAGGTACATGAGGCAACCCACCAGCTCTGCGTAGGGGCCGCTGGGCTCTACCGACTCCTCAGAAACTGGAGCAGAGAGTCTGTGGTCTACAAGCAGAGGGGTGGGCTGTGCAGAGGAGAACTGAAGGCCGAACCTCTGAAGGACCTGGCGCACCAAGTGTGACCGAGTCAGGGTGATGGTGCGCGCTGCTCTGTCCCTGGAGATCTGCAAGCCAAGGTAACGGCGCAGTTCTCTAAGGTCAGTGCACGTGTGTCTCTTCAGCAGCTCTGCCTTCACTGAGGCCAGTGCGTCCCTGTCTGCTGTGGCAAAGACCAGGTCGTCGACGTAAACAAGGATGTAGAACGGAGTCTGGCCAGCACGAACGAAGAGTGAGGGGTCTGCGGAAGACGGAAAGAACTGCAGGTCAGCAAGGGTAGCACGTAGCGTGTCGTGCCACTTACGGGGAGCCTGGCGAAGGCCGTAGACGGGGCGCCGCAGGAGCCACAGGGTCCCAGGAGGGAAGGTGCCAGTAAAGCCTTGAGGGCGACGCAGGTAGACCTGCTCGTGTAGGCTGCCCTGAAGGAAGGCAGTGGAGAAGTCGAGGGAGTGAAGCTCGTAGTCACGCTGAGCAGCTAGGTGTAACAGAACCCGAAGAGTAGTCATCTTCGGGGTCGGAGCGAAGGTCTGGAAGAAGTCCACCCCCTCACGCTGACTGAAGCCTCTAGCCACATAGCGCGCCTTGAACACAGGCGGCTCTCCAGGAGGGCGCTTCACCTTGAAGAGCCAGCGGCCATCGACTACGTTCACCCCAGGCAGGGGAACTGCGTCGACGAAGGTGCCGGTGGATCTCCAAGATGCCATCTCCTGCTCCATGGCAGCTATCCACTGTGAGGCCCAAGGTCCCGAGGTCGCCTCAGCGTAAGTGCGAGGGGTCGGGATGTCGAAAGCGTCTGGGTCACCCTCATGGACTAGCAGCATGGAACAGAGATGGGGAGCAGCCTCGGACAGGAAAGCAAGCTCGAACTGGCGGTCCTCCAGGACGTCACTGCTGAGGGCAGGAGCACCCCCGATAGACGGAGGATAGGCAGGGTCAGAGGCGAAGTCAGCGACCGTAAAGTTATCAGCTGTGTTGGCACCGGAGGCCAAGTGTACTACGCGGGCCTGGCGGCGCTGCTGTAGCTCGCGCAGGAGGAAGTACCGCAGCTGGATGTGCTTCGCTTTGCCCTCGAGTCAAGGCTCCTGACACAGGAGAATCATGGCCCTGTTGTCAGCGTACAGGACCGGGGCAGAGCTGGGACGCTCACCTACACTGGCGGAAAGAATTGTCCACATGTTTTGCAATTTTCAGAATTTCAACCGTTAAAGGGCATGTGTACATTAAGCCTTAATTGGAGGCCTTACCCAGTATATGCAGGCAAATCTAGAGACACAAAACAATGCTTCACATTTGATGAAACTATAGTCGTTAACAGTACAAAACAGAAAAAACCAATCACGGTGCATGTGGACAATTAGTTCCAGGCGGAAGCATCAACTTGAACAACCCTTAAACTAGTACCTGGTCCACTGCCCTTTAGCCCTAATCACAGCTTTCACCCTTCTGGGCATGCTGTCGATCAAATTGGAGCACACCTCTGATGGGATCTTCTCCCACTCCTCTTGTACACGCTCCCACAGGTCCACCATACCAGTGGGAGGTGTCTCATGCTTAGCCGGCTCCCTCTTAAGATGAGCCCAAAGATGCTCAATGGGGTTCAAATCAGGACTTCCTGCCGGCCACTCCAGGACCCCAAACTCCTGCTCCTGAAGCCACTGCTGTACCACACGAGACTTATGCTTGGGGTCGTTATCGTGCTGGAACATCACATCCGAGGGGGTTAGCTTGTAAAAGTCGATGGTATTCTTCAGCTCGTCTTGCAAAATGCTCAGATACAGCGGCCCGTCCATTCTACCATCAATTTTGCACATGAAACCCGCCCCCTCATACATGACACAGCCCCAAATCATCAGGCCGCCGCCCCCGTGTTTGACGGTTTGCCTGATCTGGTGGTGTTGGAGAGCCGTACCTTGACGAACCCAGGCGTACGCGCAGCCGTCAGAGCAGAACCGACTGATCCTTGTTTCATCCGACCAGATCACCCGCCTCCAATCATCTATGGTCCAATCCACGTGGGCCCGTGCGAACTCCAGCCTATCGCGGATATTTTTCTTGGAGAGTCGCGGCTTCTTAGGCTGCTGGACGGCGACAAGGCCGCTGGATTTGAGCGCATTACGCACCGTCCTAGGATGCACCATGATGCCGTGCTGGGATTCGACGATCTGGGCCGCATGCCTCGAGGTTTTCGCCTCGCCGCTAGTGATCGCCCTGACGATCCCACGACGAATTCTATTCGTCAGTACGCGTGGACGACCAGCAGTGGGCATTGAAGGACGCACATACTCAAGACTAGTCTCTGAAATCGCCTTAAGTCCAACGTCGTGTACTGTGCTTTTCCCCACGCTAACCTCCTTCGCGATTCGCCGCGTTCTGTACCCCCTACGCAACAAAGTTATGATCCGGGCGCGACGAGCCTCCTCTATCGGTCTCATCTTGGCCTAGTCGAAGCCTGGGGTATAAAGTCTATCCTGACTAATCGACGATTGCGGGAGGAACTACGGAGAGAATGCGGTAGTCGAAAACGGATCTAGGCTGCTGCTTGGCCGAAACTGTCCGGATGCACTCACGCGACTGAAATCTTGTTCACGCTATTAGTGTGACCCCTTCAAATTGCAAACGTGTTACCATAATGCAACTTGCACTCGTTACTTACTAGCCAGCTTCGAAGATTCAGCGATACCTCGGTTGAAAGCATTCAAATAATTATTTGAACCTAAAATTGGATTTTATCCGGGCAATACTTTCCGCCAGTGTAAGTCGGTGAGCAAGAACGTCAGCCAGCGGAGCTCCTGTGCCGCCATGACACCGGCGTAGATCTCAGCCTCACAGCTAGACTGGGCAACAGACCAGGAGCGAGTGGACCTCCACGAGATAGCACTTGAACCAAGGCTAAAGCAGTAGCCCTGGGAGGACATGAGTGTCTCAGCGTCGTCTGCCCATGAAGCACCTGTGTGCCCAGTTAGGACCACTGGCCTGCGTCCTCCCAGCACTAACCCCATGGCCGATGTACTTGCAAGATAACGCAAAACCCTCTTAGCTACCGACTAGTGCTGTGGTCAGTGTCTCCCAGTGGCCACAAAGTGCGCTAGGATACTGAGAGGGTATGCGAGATCTGGACAAGTGCAAGTCATCAGGTACATGAGGCAACCCACCAGCTCTGCGTAAGGACCACTAGGCTCTACAGACTCCTCAGGAACAGGAGTAGAGAGCCTGTGGTCTACTGG